CATTTTTCTTTCTCAAGATTGCTTTGGCTATTTGGGGTCTTTTGTGTTTTCATGTGAATTGTAAAATTTTTTGTTCTAGTTCTGTAAAAACGCCATTGGTAATTTGGTAGGGATCACATTGAATCTGTAGATTGCATTTGGTAGTATAGTCATTTTCACAATATTGATTCTTCCTACCCAGGAACATGGAATATCTCTCCATCTGTTTATGTCATCTTTGATTTCTTTCATCAGTGTATTATAATTTTCTGTATACAGTTATTTTGTCTCCTTAGGTAAGTTTATTCCTAGATATTTAATTATTTTTGTTGCAATGGTGAATGCAATTGATTCCTTAATTTCTCTTTCTGATTTTTCATTGTTAGTGTATAGAAATGCAAGTGATTTATGTGTATTGATTTTGTATTCTGCAACTTTGCTAAATTCACTGATTAACTCTAGCAATTTTCTGATACTATCTTTAGGGTTTTCTACGTACAGTATCATGTCATCTGCAGTGAGAGCTTTACTTCTTTTTTTCTGATCTGGATTCCTTTTATTTCTTTTTCTTCTCTGATTGCTGTAGCTAGGACTTCCAGAACTATGTTGAATAATAGTGGTGAAAGTGCACACCTTTGTCTTGTTCCTGATCTTAGGGGGAATACTTTCAGTTTTTCACCATTGAGAATAATGTTTGCTGTAGGCTTATCATATATGGCCTTTACTATTTTGAGATAGGTTCCTTCTATGCCCATTTTTTGAAGAGTTTGGATAATAAATGGGTCTTGAATTTTGTCAAAGGCTTTTTCTGCATCTGTTGAGATGATCATATGGTTTTTATCTTTCAATTTGTTAATATGGTGTATCACATTGATTGATTTGTGTATACTGAAGAATCCTTGCATCCCTGGAATAAACTCAACTGGATCATGGTGTATGAGCTTTCTGATGTGTTGCTGAATTCTGTTTGCTAAAATTTTGTTGAGGATTTTTGCATCTATGTTCATCAGTGATATTGGCCTGTAGTTTTCTTATTTTGTCTTTGTCTGATTTTAGTATCAAATAGATACTCATAGTTTCAAAGTGTTCCTCTGCAATTTTTTGAAAGAGATTTAGAAGGATAGGCATTAGCTCTTCTCTAAACGTTTGATAGAATTCTCCTGTGAAGCCATCAGGTCCTGTGCTTTCGCTTTTTGGGAGATTTTTGATCACAGCTTGTAATTTCAGAGCTTGTAATTGGGTTGTTCATAATTTCTATTTCTTCCTGGTTTAGTCTTAGAAGATTGAACTTATATAAGAATCTGTCCATTTCTTCCAGGTTTTCCATTTTATTGTCATATAGTTGTTCATAATAGTCTCTTATAATCCTTTGAATTTCTGCATTGCCTGTTGTAACCTCTTCTTTTTCATTTCTAATTTTATTGATTTGATTCCTCTCTCTTTTGTTCTTGATGAGTCTGGCTAAGGGTTTGTCAATTTTGTTTATCTTCCCAAAGAACCAGCTTTTAGTTTTATTAATCTTTACTATTATTTCTTTCATTTCTTTTTCATTTATTTCTGCTTGGATCTTTATAATTTTCCTTCTACTAATTTTGGTTTTTTTTTTTTGTTCTTCTTTTTCCAGTTGTTTTGGGTGTAAAGTTAGGTTGTCTATTTGATGTTTTTCTTGTTTCTTGAGGTAGGATTGTATTGCTATACACTTCCCTCTTAGAACTGCTTTTGCTGCATCCCATAGGTTTTGAGTTGTCATGTTCTCATTGTCATTTGTTTATAGAAATTTTTTATTTCCCTTTTTATTTCTTCAGTAACCTGTTGGTTATTTAGAAATGCGTTGTTAATAAGTTCTGATGGGTGATTGGCAGCTCCTGTCCCAGGATCTTTCTACACCTTACATGCTGTTATTTTTGAGCTGCTGCCAAACCACAGGATTCCAGCTCATCATTTACTCTTAGCTTTCTTCTTCTCTCACCTCTATCCATCCATCTATGCATAGAAAACCTTGATTTCATAACAAAGAGTTTTCTATCCAAAAAGAGCTCTTCTGACAATGAAAGGAACTGTTTTTTTTTCAGATATTTTTGTACTGGTTTACATGAATTTAAAGGTAAAACAAGAAACTTGTTAGGTATTTTCAACTCACTGTGGATGACTTTGAGTGTCTGCTGTCCTTTGTCATCAGAATTTCTGTGGGGATGTTTGATGAGAAACATTGCTTTAGGGATTTAAGGAAGACAAAAGTGGATGAAGGGGGTCCATACCCCTTTACTGGCCCCCAAAGTTTGTCTTCAGCCTCTTCAGGTCAGTCTCTCTCTTGGCCCACTGTGTTCCAACCACACTGAGCTTCCTGTGATGCTTGGGATCTGCAGCCCCAGGGCCTTTGCACTTGCTGTTCCCTTTGCCTGGTATGCGCCTCTGCATTCTCTCCACTGGCTCCTGCTCCTTCTCCTGATCAAATGTCATCTCCCCAAGGCTTTTCCTGATTTGTCTTCAGGATGCTTCCCTACCTCCATTCATGTTTATTCTAGCAGCTCTGTTGTATCCTTTATGTCTGATTGTTTTATTCATAATCTACTGATAATTATTTTGTTTGCTACATTTTAATATCTGTTTTTTTCCCACTGAAAATGGCTCCGTGTTAGGGACCAGGACTGGTTTTTTACTGCATCCCCAGGACATAGCACAGACTTTTAGCAGGATCTCAGTAAATGTTTACTGAATGAATGATTGAATGGGGTGTAAAGCGTCCTCCTCTGAGGATGGTTCTGTTTTCTTAAGGGATTCATAAAGATGTAGAAGTGTCCTTATCAAAGGAAGGAAGTTATGATAGCAGAGGAAAACACATGGAACTGATATTTTATATCAAGGAAGCTTTCTTATGTGACATTTCTTTTAGCTAGTGCCATCTGACCTGCTAACCCAGGGGACTCACACAGCTGTTCTTTTTTTTAAATTTTATTTTTTTTTATTGGAGGCTAATTACTTTACAACATTGTAGTGGTTTTTGCCATACACTGACATGAATCAGCCATGAGTGTACATGTGTCCCCCATCCTGAATCCCCCTCCCACCTCCCTCCCCATCCCATCCCTCGGGGTCATCCCAGTGCACCAGCCCTGAGCACCCTGTCTCATGCATCCAACCTGGGCTGGTGATCTGTTTCACATGTGGTAATATACATGCTTCAATGCTGTTCTCTCAAATCATCCCACCCTCGCCTTCTCCCAAAGAGTCCAAAAGTCTGTTCTTTACATCTGTGTCTCTTTTGCTGTCTCATGTATAGGGTCATCATTACCATCTTTCTAAATCCCAATATATGCGTTAATATACTGCATTGCTATTTTTCTTTCTGACTTATATCACTCTGTATAATAGGCTCCAGTTTCGTCTACCTCATGAGAACTGATTCAAATGCCTTCCTTTTAATAGTTGAGTAATACATTGTGTATATGTACCACAGCTTCTTGAAGAAGGTTAAAGATTACCACTGGGAACCTTTTGCACATTTTTTACAACCAGAGAAATAGATCTGAAGAGTTGAGATCTACATTCACAAAATAGTTTCCAAAATTCTAAATTCAGAACAGTTAAGAATGATTATAAAATTTGCCATATATCAAACAGTCAAAGACATAGTCCTTAATAATTGTATTATGACTTTTGGGTTGATTATCTATTAAGCAAAATTTTATTCTTTAATCCACAGGTCACAGTTTTTATCCACGTGAACCCACATGGCGTTGTTACGAAAAAGTAAGATTACAAACTTTGGAAAGTTATGATTAAAAATAGATATTTTGGAGGACTGTTTTGATGCTGGGTCTTATTCTTTGTCTTCTTCTTCTTTTATTTATTTATTTATTTATTTTTGAAATTTTCTTTGATTTTCATGGATAGTTTTTCCAAAGGCAATTCTTAGCCTGTTTTGTTCAGGGGTAGATTTTTCATGAGAGTGGTCTGATGGTTCTATAAAAGTTGCAAATATGGTTTATTTTCTCATTTTAAATAAATATTCATGTTCCTGTCTAATTTGTAATTTGTCTTCTTATTCTTAAAGAGTCACCCCAAATCATTTACTTTTATGACACCATAAAAACCTGGATTTGCCTCTGATTTTATATCCAGTTGTTTGTGAATCTAGTGGGAAAATAATAACCCAATTGTGTTACTGTTACCCTCAGGGTAGAGCTGCCCAGTGTAGCAGATAAAAAGATAAAATATCCAGTTAGATTTGAATTTCTAATAAACTATGAATAAGTTTTTAGTGTAAGTATATCCCAAATACTACATGGGACATACTTATACTAAAAAAGAGTCAGATAGTAGAGGCATTGGGCTGCTTCCCCAAACTGGCTGTGGGATGGGAATGTTAATCAGTTGTATTGACAAACTCTAAACTTTGTCTCTTCTCTTCTGCTTCTCTGTATTTTTGTTTTAAACTGAGTATAGTATCTGCTTGTCTCTGTCTGAATCTGATAACCCAGAAAGGCAGAGAGGAAATGGTGGATGTCAGTAAGGCAGAACAACTGAGCTTTAGGATGTAGCTCTGAAAGGCATCCATGAAGACTGTCCAACTCCTTCCTTTTACAAACGTGAGGACAAATGCCTGGGGGCCAGAAAATAGATCAGTATGAAGCCAGTAAGTATGAATATCTTGATGCACAAAAATAGTAAATGATAATACATAACAGTTTTAAAGTCTTTATTGGGCCTTTATTGGCTTTGTTAACTCTCAAAACACCCCTGAAAGGTAATGATTATTATTACAATCCGCATTTAACAGATGAGCAAACTGAGGCTCAGAGAGGTTAAGTAATCTGCACATCTGACTGCCTGGGCAGAGCCCTGTCTCCCCTTAAACTACATCTGGTATCGCTGAGAATCACCAGTATCACAGATTAACTGTTTACTCCGCATGCTGACAAAGGTTCTAGACCTCTACTCCTGTGTATGTCAGAAATGTCAGGGAGCACATGTGTTCACACTGGCTATTCTAAACTTAATCCACAATTTCAGTTTGACAGGTTAGACTTGAACATGTTTCTGTTTTTATTTCAGTTAACCAGGTGCTGCTGTTCCTTCTGATTGTGACCCTCTGTGGGATTCTATATAAGAAAGTTCATAAGGGGACCATGCTCAGGAATGAAGCAGGTATGATAAGTGATGCAAGCCAATCACAAAAAGATGAATACTGTGTGATTCCACTAATATGAGACAGAATAGTCAAATTCATGATGACAGAAAGCACAGTGATGACTGCCAAGAGCTGAGTGGGTGGGGGAGGGAATTATTGTTTACTGGGTATAGAGTTTCTGTTTTACAACATGAAAAGTGTTATGGGGATGGATGATACTGATAGTTGTACAACAGTTGTGAATGTATTTAATATTATTGAACTGTACACTTAAAAATGGTTAAGATGGTAAGATTTCTTGTAATATATTTATTTGGGTGCACCAGATCTTAATTGCAACATGTGAATTCTTAGTTGAGGAATGTGGGATCAAGTTCCCTGACCAGGGATCAAACCCCAGGCCCCCTGCATTGGGAGAACAGAGTCTTAGACGCTGGACCATCAGGGAAGTCCAAGATGTTTTTTTACGTTGCATATTTTACTACAATAAAAATAAATATAGAAAAGAATGAAGCAGGTAAGCAGGCAGGTAGTCCACCAAGAAGAGATACCTAATTGGGACTTCCCTGGTCCAGTGGGTAAGACTCTGAGCTTCTAGATGCAGGGGGCCTGGGTTCAATCCCTGGTAAGGGAACTAGATCCCACATGCCACAACTAAGAGTTTGCATGCCATAACTGATGATGACTTAAATGAGTGGGATGGGAGAGGTGGTGGGAGGGAGGTCCAAGAGGGGATACATGTATATATATAGCTGATTTGCTTTATTGTACAGCAGAAGCTAACATTGAAAAGCAGTTATACTCCAATAAATAATAATGATAAAATTTAGATTCTGCATGCCCCAACTAAGACCCAGGACAGCTAAATAAATGAATGCGTGAGATGAAATACTTAAGGACACAGTTTGAGTCCTTTCAATAGGTAGGTTCAGAGACAAGCAAAAATTTGGTCAGTTTCCAAGGACTTGTTTGTAGAAAACCCACCAAGACTAACATTTTAGTTGTGTTCTAGAGTTATCACTGCTACTCAAACTTATAACACTTATAAGAACCACACAGAGGATGTGCTAAAACACGCTCCTGGCCCAAGTTTGTTTGGCTGGCTTTTGTTTTTTCCCCAATCTATCTTTTTAAAATTAATTAATTTATTTCTGGCTGTGCTGGGTCTTGGCTGCCGTGCAGACCTTTCTCTAGTTTCTCGTTAAGTGCGGAGGCCCCCCTTGTTGCAGAGTGAGGGCTCTGTGCTGGCTTCAGCAGTTGCGGTTTGAGGGCTCAATAGTTGTGGCACACAGGCTTAGCTGCACCACGGCATGTGGGATCTTCCTGGACCAGGGATCAAACCTGCGTCTCTTGCATTGGCAGGTGGATTCTTTATCACCGACCCACCAGGGAAGCCCCATTTGTCAATTTTTAATCAGCAAAAATAGCCTCATTTAGGGCTTTCCAGGTGATGCTAGTGGTAAAGAATCTGCCTGCCAATTCAGGAGATGCAAGAAATCACTGGGTCAGGAAGATCCCCTGCAGAAGGAAATGGCACCCTACTCCTGTATTCTTGCCTGGAAAATTCCGTGGGCAGGGGAACCCTGTGGTCTACAGTCCTTGGGGTCGCAAAGAGTTGGACATGAGTGACTGAGCACGCACAATGGCCTCATTTAACTTAATACTATGGGGTTAGGTCTCCAGCATTATGCATTTTAGGGATATACAATTCAGTCCACAACAGTACAGAAAGAATGACTCAGTAAATTGCTTTGAGAAAGAGAGAAGGTCATATAAGGTCAAATGTTGTTTGAACTTCGAGCTCTTTACTCCTCACGTTTCACTTCCTGCCCATAAGCCAACACATTCAGCTGAGTGATCCCACTGCAAACTCCTTTCTCCATGGAAAGAAATGAGTTGCTTTTATAATAGCTGTTAAAAGAACTGTTAGAAAGCACATATCCTGACTAATTAACTGGCCATATATTCATATGTGATAAAGTGTTTGGACCACATAAATTTATCCAATAGCACATTTTTATCCCATTCAGTGTTAAAATTTTAAAAAGCAATCAGTGGTATGAAATACTGCCCAAAAGAACACAATATTGATATAGAAAGATGGATATCTGTGGTATGTTACATGAAAAAAGAAAGTTACAGAGACTATGAAAGTATGATTTCATGTTGGTTTTAAAATAATACATCAAATTTCATGTAATATTTATACGGTGTGTAGTTTACATGCTTTGGGTGTACATTAAGAAAGGTTTGAAAGACATACACCCAGCTGGTAGGAGGTCTGCCTTTGGAATGGAGGCTGAGAGGGCTCCAGAAAACAATCACCATCTACTGGATCCTCTTCTGTTTGGGCTGGAGTTTTGCGAGAAGTGCATGTTGATTTTTTAATAGACTTTACTTTTTAGAGCAGTTTTAAGTTCACAGCAAAACTGAGCAGAAGGTACAGAGACTTCTCCCATTCCTCCTTCCACCACACACACACACACACACACAAACACGCACATACACACACACGCACAGCCTCCCCCACTATTAACATCTTGCACCGGAGTGGTACATGTGTTACATTCCACGGACTTACATTAACACATCATTATCACCAGTGTCCATAGTTAATTTCTTTCTTCTTTTTTTTGGTCATACCATGAGGCATGCAGGATCTTTGTTCCCTGACCAGGCATTGAACCCCTTGCAGTGGAAGCTCTGAGTCTTAAGCACTGAACTTCCAGGGAATCCCCACCAGTGTCCACATTGGGTTTACCCCTGGTGTTATTCATTCTTTGGGTTTTGAGAAATTTATAATGACATTTATCTACTATCATAGAATACAGAATAGTTTCACTCAACCACTTAACCAGTGTACCACCAGGAAATCCCCACATGCTTTTTAAAGGCAAACCCAATAGTTGCACATATACTGACACCAACATCTCACTGATCAACACTTGGTCACTTAGAGCTGCAAGGGAGTCTAGAAAAATATTCTGAGTGGTTGGCTATGTGCCAGCTATATTTCCAATGTTCTAAGAGAAGGAAAGTTTGGATATTGGAGAATGATGGACAGTCCCTTCCCCATTGTGCTATCCTCCCCCTGGAGTGGGGAAGACAAGCCGGACTGTGAAATTCCTTCATGTTCCAAGACTCTGGTTCTGATGTTTTCAGATGATGACTCTGAGACCCCAGAGGAGATGGAGGATGAAATTCCGGTGGTGATCTGTGCAGCAGCAGGCAGGATGGGCGCCGCCATGGCCGCCATCAACAGTATCTACAGCAACACCGATGCCAACATCTTGTTTTACGTAGTTGGGCTCCGGAACACTCTGTCCCGAATACGGTAACATGTGTACTGTAGACTTTGGAGTTTTCTACTTCCTATTTTTTTTTAAATCAACATGTTTTTTTAAAAACGTGTATTTATTTTGGTTGTGCTGGGTCTTCGTTGCTACTCGTGGGATTTCTGTAGTTGCTGCGAGCAGGCTGCTTTTTGTTTTGTTTTTTTTTTCATTTATTTTTATTAGTTGGAGGCTAATTACTTTACATCATTGCAGTGGTTTTTGTCATACATTGAAATGAATTAGCCATGGATTTACATGTATTCCCCATCCCGGTCCCCCCTCCCACCTCCCTCTCCACCCGATCCCTCTGGGTCTTCCCAGTGCTCCAGGCCCGACCACTTGTCTCATGCACCCAACCTGGGCTGGTGATCTGTTTCACCCTAGATAATATACATGTTTCGATGCTGTTCTCTTGAAACATCCCACCCTCGCCTTCTCCCAGAGTCCACAAGTCTGTTCTATACATCGGAGTCTCTTTTTCTGTTTTGCATATAGGGTTATTGTTACCATCTTTCTAAATTCCATATATATGTGTTAGTATACTGTAATGGTCTTTATCTTTCTGGCTTACTTCGCTCTGTATAATGGGCTCCAGTTTCATCCATCTCATTAGAACTGATTCAAATGAATTCTTTTTAGTGGCTGAGTAATATTCCATGGTGTATATGTACCACAGCTTCCTCATCCATTCGTCTGCTGATGGGCATCTAGGTTGCTTCCATGTCCTGGCTATTATAAACAGTGCTGCGATGAACATTGGGGTGCACGTGTCTCTTTCAGATCTGGTTTCCTCGGTGTGTATGCCCAAAAGTGGGATTGCTGGGTCATATGGCAGTTCTATTTCCAGCTTTTTAAGGAATCTCCACACTGTTTTCCATAGTGGCTGTACTAATTTGCATTCCCACCAACAATATAAGAGGGTTCCCTTTTCTCCACACCCTCTCCAGCATTTATTGCTTGTAGACTTTTGGATAGCAGAGCAGGCTGCTTTTTGTTGCGGTGGCTCCTCTCGGGGCTGAGCACGGGCTCTCACCCTGCAGGCTCGGCAGCCGCAGCACTAGGCCGGGTGGCTGTGGCTCAGAGTTGGTTGCTCTGAGGCATGTGGAGTCTTCCCAGACCAGAGATCGAAACCGTGTCCCCTGCATTGGCAGCTGGGTTCTCATCCACCGCACCACCAGAGAAGTCCCTCTACTTCCTTTTAATTGTTCTCATCTTTCCTTACGTGGATTCTCTTCTTTCTTGGGTCTAGTAAATGTCCTTCAAGTTAATGAGAGGATAACCTGAGGTTTACCTGATGGCCTGACAAATACATTGCCTCGCTAAGGAAATTTCAGCAAAGCCTTGTTAATCTGATAGGGCAGTGCATTGTTCTACAGAGGTGAATTATTTAATGCATGAAGGAAACCCACTCCCTAAGCCATTTACAAGAGTCTTTCTTTCTCAAAGTTTCTCTGTTCTCTGCTTTCTTAACCTGAGAGGCTATTAATGTAATCATCTAAGATGGCTCAGAATCATCACTAATTATAATTCATAAACTGCAAAGTCACTTCCTTCCTATCACACACCATACTAAACCATAAATTGAAGTTGAATTTAGAAGAAATAAACAAGAGATAAAATTCTAAATGTATTACTAAATTGCAGGATAGTTGTATAATTTTGGTATGGTGAGTGACTCCCAGACCCCAGGCGAAAAAAATGGACAGATTTGACTGCTAATATTAAAAAAATTTTAACTGATGAAAAACACTGAGTGAAACTGATCACACAACTGGTTAGGAAAACTGTCTTCAACAAGTATTGTAGACAAAGGATTACTATCCAAAATGTATAAAGAATTCTTACCAAAAAAAATTTAAAAAGACAAGCATATAGTAGAAAAATGAGCACAGAATGCAGACAATTCACAGAACAAAAAACTATAAATGGCCAGCAAACACGAAAAGATGTCCCATGTTACTAGTAGGGAAATACAAGTTAAAACAATGACATATAGTTGTCTACTCATCAGGATGGTAAATCTAAATAGGACAACACCATCCTGTGCAGGAAAATGGACATGCTTATTCCTTGTTTGCACAATGTATGCTTTATAAATTACTAAAGCATTTTGAGAGGACACTATGGAAATATCTAATAGAATGGCATTGTGTATGTATTTTGACTCACCATTCCATTTCAACAGCTGGGAATATGTACCACAGAAATTCTAGTACATACTACCAAAATATATGTGCCACAATGTTAATTTCAGCATGACGTGAAATAATTTTAAAAAAATTGCAAAGTGCTTAAATGTCCATCACTGGAAGAATATTTCAATGAACTATGGAATATGATCCAGCTATTAACAAAGAAAGAAGGCATAGAAGATCCCCAAGGCATATTATTAAGCAGAAAATACAAGTTGCAGTACTCCTCATATACTGACCCACTTTATGAATGTCTTAATTCATTTGAGTTGCTGTAACCAAATGCCACAGTCTGGATGGTTTGGCTTAAAAACAGGAGAACTTTTATTTCTCAAGTTCTGGAGACTGAGAAGCCCAAGATCTAGGGGCCAGCAGATTCATGTCTGGTAAGGGCTCACCTCCTGGCTCAGAGCAGGCTGCCTTCTTGCCGTGTTCTCACATGGAGAAGGGATAACAGAGGTTCACCAGGGTCTCTTTTATAGGAGAACTAACCCCATTCATGAGGGCTCCACCCTCAAGACCTAATCACCTCCTAAAAGCCACACCTCCAAATACCACCACACTTGGGATTAGGTTTCAGCATACAAATATGTGGAGGACACAGCATTTGATCCGAAGCAATGAAATGAAAAGCCCCAAACTATAAATGTGTACATGTACTTGTATGTATTTCTGTAAGAAAAAAAAAAAAAAGACCGAGAAATACCCCCAGCTCTAAAAAGTAATTATTTTTAAGGAGGATGAAAGAAGTGGAGAGAACAGTGATGAAGAGAAGTTAGGTATTTCAAGTATTGTTTCTGTCATTTATAAGGAGAATGTATTCATGTTTGAGTTTTATAATCAGATTTCTTTTTTGTAACAGCACCACAGGAGGTACTAAGATATAAAACACAATTTCTCCTTATCTAAATGGTCCTTGACTGTTGTGGGTTTTTCTGTCTCATTTCTCATTCTTCTTATCATTTATTATTTCAGATTGTTCACTTAGCACATTGTTAACAGCTCTTTAATTATCTGTGGGTATGAAAACCAGGCTTCCCAGGTGGCTCAGTGGGTATAGAATTGCTTGCAATGCAGGAGACATTCGACTGAACCCCTGCAATGCATTAGGCTTGATCCCTGAGTCAGGAAGATCTCCTGGAGGAGGACATGGCAACCCATTCCAGTATTCTTGCTTGGAGAATCCCATGGACAGAGGAGCCTGGCGGGCTACAGTCCATGGGGTCATGACGAGTCGGACATGACTGAAGCGACTGAGTGCAAACGTGCACGCGTGAAAACCAGATAACCAAACCCCAAACCAGATCACCAAACTCTTCTTATCACTTCCTGTTGCAGATTGTTCACTTAGCCTGTTAACAGCTCTTTAATTTTCTGTGGGTGTGAATACCAGATAACCAAACCAGAAGGATGGCATGTGTAATAGGAGTGAGGCTTTGTACTTGAACCAGAGGGAGGCAGGGCTTCAGGACGTTTAAGCAGGGGCTGTTTCTCAGCTCTCGGTTGTCATCTCCACCACCCCATTTTAAAATATTTTAAAAATTCTTTTTTGGGACATGTAGCACACAAACAGAGAATTGTATAAACCCCATGTACAGCTTAATGATCATCTTTGTGGATCCTTTGGTAAACATGCCCCTGTAACACCAGTGCTCGGCATGGTCAATCTTTCCAGCTTTGCTGTTCTGATGGTCTTCGGGGATATTGAATTCTGGTTTTAATTTGAGGTTCCTTGATTTCTAATGAGGTTGAGCGCTTTTTTCCCACATGTTTCCTGGCCATTTGGATGTGCATGTTCAAGTGTCTGGCCTATTTTTCTGTTGGTTGTCTCTCTTTTTCTTGTTTACATGACTTTTTCCTCCCTAGCTTTATTGAGATATATTTGATATATAACATTGTATAAATGACTGATTTTTATGTTTCAAATTTTGCAGGTCTAAATTTTGTTTGGAAGATTGAGTCCTTCTGTCGAGTTTCAAAAATAATGTTATTTATTGATTGACTTTTGGCTGTGCTGGGCCTTCATTGCCTTGTGTGGACTTTTCTCTAGTTGCAGGTAGTGGGAACTACTCTTTGTTGCGGTGCATGGGCTTCTCATTGCAGCGTCTTCTCTTATGTGGAACATGGGCTCTAGGTCGCACCGACTTCGGTAGTTGCGGCATATGAGCTCTGTAGTTGCAGCTCCCTGGCTCTAGAGCACTGATTCTGTAGTTGTGGCACACGGGCTTAGATGCTCCTCCACATGTGGGATCTTCCTGGACCAGGGATCGAACCTGTGTCTCCTGCCTTGGCAGGTGGATTCTTTTACCACTGAGCCACTAGGGAAACCTGTCTTGTTGATTTTTAATCAGCAAAAATGTTACCATGTGTAGTTTTAAAGCGTGTGGCCCACATGAGAAATAAAACTGGAAATTTAATTTTGAAATGATTTCTATGAAGAATCGTATTACAAATTGGATAAAAGATAGGCAGAATTTCTGTAGGACCAAGCACACTTAAGTGGAGAGGGTAGAGAAGAGGAGGTGAAGGTGGGGAGCCAAAACAGATGATTGAAAGGTAAAGGTAAATTCAGGTCATCCTTGGAGTCCAAACAGCAGAGTAAACACGATTCAGTCAAAGGATGCCCTGCCTCCTTACAGGGCTCTTGGCCCATGGCAAAGAGAACACCAACAACTACAGATGCTGCTTTATAAGAAAGAAGGAACACTGGGACTTCCCTGGTAGTCCAGTGCTAAGAATTGGCCTTCAAATGCAGGGCACGTGGGTTTGATCCCTGGCTGGGGAACTAAAATCCCACATGCTGTTGAGGAACCAAACCTGCATGCTGCAACCAAGACCCAATGCAGTCTAAATAAATAAATAAAGTTGTTTGTTTTTTTTTTTAAAAAAAAAGAAGGAACACTTATTGTTTTTCCAGTTTCCTGCGGAGATATTATGAGGCTCTGGGGAGATATTTGGTTATTACTATTTTGCTTCATTTCCTTTGCAAAAGGAGTTATGTGAATGAAAAAAAATCAAAGCTGAACCAGATGGGGAAAAAATCAGAAGGATTTATAGACTAGAATTGACTAAGGTTACACATGTCGTATTTTTAATTTTCTAAGGAGGCAAGACATTGACTCCGAGGCAATAGGTGTATTGAGGCAAGGTTGGAGGTGTGTGCTAGATGCTGTTCTTTGTTTTTGTTATCTCTTTAGGAAATGGATCGAACATTCTAAACTGAGAGAAATAAACTTTAAAATCGTGGAATTCAACCCTGTGGTCCTTAAAGGAAAGATCAGACCAGACTCCTCGAGGCCTGAGCTGCTCCAGCCTGTGAGTAGGGATTACACATGTAGGGGATGGTTCTCGGTGAGACGCTTGTTCGGGGTGGAGGGCCATCCACTGGGGTACACATGAAATGTTTCTGAAGCCTCCCAGTGTAGATCTCCACCAAACTCTGCTTTGATCATTTATAAGGCAACTGTTTCAGAAAGGATGTAAGATGGTTTACATAATGAAGCTATGAAAGAAGAAATGAAGCATAAGAAAATGTAGGATCCTTTTACATGTGTAAATATACCTAAGGGGTGGTTGGGGTGCCAAGTAGTGAGGCCAGGAAAATATATTCCCCACCCACTGGCAGTTGTGTGTACTGTGATTGGACATTACATTTAGCTCAGAGTATCCTAGCAACTAAGGGAAAACTGTAACAAGATGGGGTATTTACCTCACAGTATTGACTAATATTTTCAGGCAACATTAACTTTTTCTCTGGCACTAGCAATCTTGAAGTGTTTCACTGCAAGAGTTCTTACAAGAAGGACACTTTCCTGCATAAAAAGCAGTGTTTTGATGGCAGGTTTACAGAAAATTCAGCTTCCTTCTAGTATGATTATTACTTAAATACATCCTTAAAAATTTACTAAATTCTAAGCCTTCTAAATGATATGATCTTTTCCAAATTCCAGATATTTATTATCGAGAGTGCTCACTACGTTCGGACTTTGCATTATACATTATTATAGCTTCCCACATAGTAAAGAATCTGCTTGCCAGTGCAGGAGATGCAAAGGTCCTGAGTTCGATCCCTGGGTCAGGAAGATCCCCTGGAGGACGAAATGGCAACCCACACCAGTATTCTCGACTGGAGAATTCTATGGACAGAGGAGCCTGGCGCACTATGGTCCACAGGGTTGCAAAGGGTCGGAACAGCTAAGCAACTGAGCGCAGCACATTAGACTGTTAAAACACCCATCTTCAGCCCATGCATCTCTGACTTTTCTCCGGTTCAAGGAGTTAAGACATTGAGCTTGTGTGTCTGGTGTGATGATGTGAGGGACGATGCATGTGTGTGTGTGTGTGTGTGTGTGTGTTTAAGGCTGTTTCAGTTGACCGGTGTCAGATTACTGAATATAGAGAAAGGCAGGCAATTTGTGGCCAGAAAGATTAATAGCCTCTGTGCCTTCCATGGTGGCAATTCACAGCGATGAAAATAGTGACAGTCTCAGCAGTGGGGGGCGGTGGTTGGATCTAGAAGACCCTCTGATGGGTGCTGATTTCAGTCCCAGGGCCCCAGGTAAACCTCACTAGGAAGCTCAGGCAGGCCTCTCTGCAGTCTTGTTTTATTCTGCTCCAAACCTGGAGCTGAGCCATGGTCATGCTCAAAGCTGACCCACTGGAACTTCTGTCTCTTCCTCACCATCACTTCTTTTCTTGTTTTAACAGCTGAACTTTGTTCGATTTTATCTCCCTCTGCTTATCCACCAACACGAGAAAGTCATCTATTTGGATGATGATGTAATCGTCCAAGGTATACTTGCCGATGCCAAGAATACTCAGAAAAGGAGCAGCCGATAAGTAGAATGCCCATCTCTGTTCAATTTTGAAATATCTAGTGGCTCAGTGATTTTCATGGCTTATTAAATTTGGGAGTATAGTATTATAAAAAATGAGAGAATATTTTGAAAACAGAGGTTGATATTCACTTTTTGGGACTTTCCAGTTGACTTTCCAATTGACTTTCTGAGAGCCACTCCCTGTCAAAGTCTGTAATAGGTACCCTGCAACCCTGAAACACAGAGGGATAAAGCCTCACTGATGATGTTAGAAGCGAGCTCAACTGTAGTGTTAAATGCTGTCTTCTCTCTTTCCCGCATGCAAAATAAGATGAGCATTGGTGAAGTGCCTACAAAGCCACAGAAATAAAGAAATCTGACCAATGCAGATGGGAGCTTATTATCAAGTGGCTTTTCATATGATATGAGCTATTCTTATCAAGCAAATTGCCAAACCACTTGAAACCACAGATTATATACTTTTCCCCCACAGCAAAATCGGGGATTGTTTATGTGCTAAGCTCTAGCTAGTCCTGGAATGAGTGCTATACTATTGTAACTCCTGGTGTTTGTTAATTCAGGAGACATACAAGAATTGTATGACACCACCTTGGCCCTGGGCCACGCGGCAGCTTTCTCCGACGACTGCGATCTGCCCTCCTCCCAGGACGTACACAGGCTTGTGGGGCTGCAGGTGGGCACCCATCTTGGGAATCCTACTTTCACTCCTTCTTCTCCTGGCATCTCAGAGCAAGTGGCATCGCTACCTTTGAGAAGCCGGCCAGCCGGGCAGGACTGATGGGCAGCACACAGCCAGGGGTCTGGGTTGCCCAGTCACATCCCAGCTCTGCTCCCAATGACTCTGGGCCAAGTTACTTACTTCTGCAAGTCCTCCTTTCCTTATCTGGAACATGGCAACCATAGCACCTACTTGGTCGTGTTTTTGTGGGTTGTGATGAAATAACATGATGTCAAAGTGTCCACTAAATGCTCCAGAAATGATGGTTGTTACTTAAGTCACTCGTAACCACACTCTATGGCAGAGACTGGTGTTTTCTCTAAGAGACTCCCTGAAACTTTGGTTCTGTTTTCAGAGTTTTGACTGTCTCTCCCCCCATCGCCTTTCAGTAGAGGAAAATATTGACTTTGTTCCAAGCTAAAGAATACCCTTGTAGAAATGAAGGCAGTCAAACCCAGATATAACACTGAAATCAAAAGAATGGCTTTAAAATACAAGATACTATTACAAATTGAATGCTGTTCTTAAAAAAAAAAAAAAAGTTCCAGGAAATAATGACATATGTGTGACATTAAAGTGTGACACATTTTAAGGCTTAGGCCCTGGGCCCAGACCTGCCTGTCAAAATCTTGGCTCCATCACTCAGGAGTTTTGTGACCTTGGGCAAGTTACTTAACCAATCATTTTCTCCCTCATTTGTCAAATAGTGGTAATAATAGAACTTCCTGGTAGGGTTATTGGGAGAGTTAACTTAGTTAATACATGTAAGTTATTGCATGCAACTAATGAGCTTAAGTGTGTGAAGTTCTTAGAACAGTGTCTGCATGTAGGAAAGTGCTCAGATAGTTCTATTATGTCCAGGTCTTTTGAGCATCCCCTGAGGTGGATTATGGCAGCCTCTGTGGGTGAAATAGTGTGTTTTGCCTCATGTTACATTCACTCAACAACCAGTTATGCTATGTGCCTGACACTGATTTAGGTGCTAGTAACACAGTGACAAAACTAAAATTTGTGCCTTTGTGTAGCTTCCATTCTAGTGGGAAGAGATGGTCAGCAAACAAGTGAAATATTGAACAGAGGATAAGAGGAGGTGGGTTGAAATTTAAGTTGGGTGATCAGGGAAGTCTTTGTGGAGGCTGTGTTTCTGAGCCTACACCTGAAAGACTTGAGGCAACTATCTTCACAGATATTTAGAGGAAAACATTCCAGGAGAGGTAACAGCGAACGTGGAGGCAGGGGAGTATTTGGCATATTGAAGGAGCAAGGAGGTCAGGGTGGCAGAGGGGTCACGGGGCAAGTAATAGAAGATGGAGAGGCAGTGGGGACAGGGCAGACGGTGGAGGGCACGGCAGGCATTTTAGGGGGTTTGGGATTTACTCTGAATGATGGGCTTTGAGCAGATGAGTAACACTGAGACAGCAGGTTGAAAAGGGTGGACGCAGGACACAGGTTGGGATGGGCTGGCAGAAATCCGGTGAGTGGTATGATGGTCTGGACCAGGCAGGTAGCAGAGACGGTAAGAAGTGGTGGCTTCTGGGCAATCCCCTGGCAGTGCAGTGGGTTAGGACTTCTTTTCTCACTGCTAAGGGCCCAGGTTCGATCCCTGGTGAGGGAACTAAGATCCCACAAACCACATGGCAACATCCCACAAGCCATATGGAGCGGCCAAAAAAAGAAAAAAGAAGTTGTTGGCTTCCGACTGTATTTTGGAGGATGGGGCCACAGGGCTGCTGAGACCTATATGGAAAGTGAGTGAGGAGGAGGAGTCCAGGGTGGCCTCGTGACCCTAGGTTTTCTAACTGGAAGGATGGAGGGGCCACCAAGGTGGGGCAGGTGGTGGCAGAGCAGGTTTGGGATAGGACTGGGGTCTGCTTGGGGCCCTAAGGAGGCCTGCCTTACCAAGCAACGGGACAGACGAGTTGAGTTGGCAGATACAGTGGAGCTGGAAACCCAGAGAGGTCCCGGATGGCTGCATGGAGAGATTTAGAGCCAGATGAGGCTGTTGGGGGAGCTCGTGCTGGAGAAATGAGCAGATGCCAGACATGAGACTAGGGGCACCCAGCTTTCAGCGGTTGGGGAACCAAGAGGAAACTGGGAAAGCACTTGAGGAAGTGGCCGGTGCCCAGGAGGAAGCCCAGGTACTGCCTAATGGTCTCAAGAAAGTGGTTATTTTCCAGAAACAAAAGATTCATTGGTCAAAAGCATGTGTATCCTTTTCCTTTATAGAACACATACATGGGCTATCTGGACTACCGGAAGAAGACGATAAAAGACCTTGGCATCAGCCCCAGCACTTGCTCTTTCAATCCTGGTGTGATTGTTGCCAACATGACAGAATGGAAGCACCAGCGGATCACCAGACAGTTGGAGAAATGGATGCAAAAAAATGTGGAGTATGTGTGGGCCTCTATCATTTTTTCCATGCTCGGGAACATTATTCCATTAATTTTCTATGCATAGCTCAGGGGTTAGAAATCTGAGGTCAGATTTTCTTACAGAGGCACTGTTGAGAAAAAAGGGATCAGTGGATGAAAAAGCTATTCTCAAATGATATGTCAGAGGCAGTGAGATCCTGTGCAATCCCTTATTAATATAAGCATTTTCTAATATATTGTTAAATAATGTGATTTTAAATCTTCTCCTAGAATGCCAGTGAATCTTTTCAACTACAAATCATTTATCGTAGTAGAGCTTCTCCTTACACAGATTTAAGAATTATTTTATAAAGTCGACTTTTTAAAGGATGAATTTATTAAATCATTTTTCATTATCGAAATTTTAAGAGATAATAAAAATAACACAACCACTGTTATCATGGCAGTGTATATCCTGTCCATATTTTAAATCTGGATATTTTTAGTATTATCATAACCTTGAATTTGTGAGTAAAGTCATTCTAAATAAGGTAGGATCAGAATTTGGGATCTTCTTTGTTTGCTATAAAAGAGCCTGAGAAGTAAAATGGCAAAATATTAACATTCTGTGAATCAAGGTAAAGCATATAGGAGTTCATGGTATTCTTACAATTCTGGGTAGGTTTAACAAATTTCAAAATAAAAAGTTGGAAAAAAATCAAAGACCATAGGCTTATTACACAGTGAGGGATCGTCTTGTGCGTGCTCAGTTGCTAAGTCATGTCTGCCTCTGCGGCCCCAATGGACTGTAGCCCACCAGGTTGCTCTGTCCATGAGATTTCCCAGGGAAGAATACTGGAGTGGGTTGCCCTTTCCTTCTCCAGGGGGTCTTCCTGACCCAGGGGTTGAACCCATGTCTCCTTTTTGGCAGGCGATTCTTTACAACTGAGCCACACCTTTTAAAATGATTAGATTCCACTTCATCTGAGTCTGTGGGACTCCAGGCCAACTGTTGCTTTTCTATTCTCTTAGGGAAAATCTCTACAGCAGCTCGCTGGGAGGAGGGGTAGCCACCTCCCCAATGCTGATTGTGTTTCACGGGAAATACTCCACCATCAACCCCCTATGGCACATAAGGCACCTGGGTACGTATTTTAGAACACCAAGGTACATCTTATAGATGCGGTGAGAACCAAGGTGAGGGGAGTGTGCTATTATACCAGCTTCCTCAATTCAAATCCTCCAGGTGACCTGGGATCTCACCTGGGACACATTATTTAACCTTCACTGCTCAGATTCTGCAACTGCAGCTTATAAAAAATGACCTGAGAGATGTTTCTAGGAAAAGCACTTCAGGAAAAGCCAATCATGCTTAGCGTATAGTATGTGCTCAATAAACACGAACTTTTGTTGAGATACTGTGTTCACTGGCAGAACTTTTCCACATACCTTTATTGCTCTCTTGCAGTAACTGATAGTGGACAGAACCAAATGAATTAGCATAATAGTTGATGATAAATTTAGATAGCTGGCAATTTATCTTTTTTTTTTTTTTGACTGTGTCGGGTGTTTGTTGCAGGGCACGGGCATTCTCTAGTTGTGGTGTGTGGGCCTCTCATTTTTGTGGCTTATCTTGTTGCAGACCATGAACTCTAGAGCACAGGCTCGGTAATTGCAGTCAGTGGGTTTAGTTATTATCCTGAGGCATGTGGGATCATAGTTTCCTGACCAGGGATCAAACCTGTGACCCTTGCATTGCCAGGCAGATTCTTAACCACTGGACCAGAAGGCAAGTTCTATAATTTATCTTTTAGGAAAAAACTGCTTGCTGACTGTATACTATGTGAGTCCCTCAAGTCTTTTATTCACTCTTCACTACAGGAGTACAGGCTCTAGGGTATGGACTGGAATCCCAACTTTGCTATTATCTAAGACCTTAGGCAAGTTACGCAAGCCCTCTGTGCCTTAGTTTCTTCACTTGTAAATGGAAGCTAATATTAAGCTTTTACAAGGGATAAATTACCTAATATGTGTAAACTGCTTAGAACAGAGCCTGACACAGAAGACATTCAATTCTTTCAAATGTATGGCCACAGCCCGTTTGCCACACCCACTGGGTCAGACCTGTTTAGAAATTCAGAAAGGTTCTGAAATTTTAAAAGGTAATGTGCACATACCTACATTATGCAATACACTGAGGGGGTTCTAGATGTTGCTGCCAAAGAAGTTATTAAAAATCCTTTCGCTTTCAAACATTTGGGGATTGATTAGTTTAGAATTGGAGACAATGGATTGTGGACATACACTGTCAAACCCTGGGCTAGGCTCTGGGGGTCGATGTGAGCATCACTTCTCTCAGAACAATCCTGCAAGATGGTATGTCTCCTACTGTCCCGTGTAAAAGGAAGGTCACACAGAACTGTGGAAATTGCATGACTGTCTCCTCTTTATGATGCTGCATAAATAGTTCCTGGCTCCTCACTAGCATCACCCCTGATTTTGCTGAACATCTGTATGCACAGTATGAACAGTGATGCGGGGATGCTGAGGACACTAATATTTCATTTGATTTGCTTTATAATGCTGAGCCCACTGTTAGGTCAAGTGGTGATGAGTGTGGAGAAAATCCCATCAAAGTAGAATAGCTATAAAAATATGTGTAGGAACAGTGATGTGGAGCTTAGACTGGGTTAGAGAAAATCAGTGTTGGGGTAAATTCTTCATTGTATGCCTATCAATTTATCCAAGTTTTTTTTCAATGAACTTGTATTCAATTTTTAATATAAAATTTTAATTTTCTAATGAACCTATCATTGTCCCCTAAACACAATCAAGGCTGGAATCCAGATACCAGATATTCAGAGCATTTTCTGCAGGAGGCAAAACTACTCCACTGGAATGGAAGACATAAACCGTGGGATTTCCCGAGTGTCCACAATGACTTATGGGAGAGCTGGTTTGTTCCTGACCCGGCAGGGATATTTAAACTCCACCACCCCAACAGCTGATGTAACTCGACATTTAAAATATTTCCTGTACAAATATGCGGAACTGTCCATGTATATCCTATTATACCATTGCTCTTTGTGAACAGGACCTTTGATACAAATGATCCACAAAAACAAAAAACCCTACTGTGTACAAATAGTACCTTGAACCCTAGAAGTATTGATTTAGTTCCTTAAATACAAGTGACAATTATAGAAGATTTTGTGAGTGAAATATGTTATTGCAAAGAAATAAACCCAGCTAGGTTTCAGCAATTTGCTTATTAACTCTGAATGAAAACTACAGCCATAAATGTAAAAAATTTCTAAATGTATTTTTTACATGTAGATATTTTTTTAACGAGTTGCCAATGTTGTCTTCTGTAGAACAATATATCACATTTAAAACAGGAATGTCTAAAAAAATAAAATATTCATAGACTTTTAGTGATTTTCATAATCTATTATTCTACATGTTAAATATAACAGCAGGTAAACTGATCTCAGATTAACAAGGGAAAGAATACCAGAGTCTTGCTACAGAAAACACTGCAACTTAAGGATAATCATTCTCAGTATTTTTTATTGTAAAAACACACTCAGACTCTCGAGTGATTTCTAAAACTTTCCAGCATGATTTAATGGACAAGTCTCACGTTCCCATGTACAGTGTATGTCACGGCCACTATCCACCTGTCACACTGAATGGAAAACGCCGCTACTGTGCGCCTGGAGAGGTCCTTAACCCGTTCTCTAGTGACTGTCCACCGTGCTTTAAAGGACGTTTCCTCCGCTCAAAAAAAAAACTATGTGAAGACTGCAATCATTAAAAACCAAAGCAACGCCTAGTTACGTGCTTTACATAATCCCATGAAAAAATAGTTAAACTGTTCCTGATCCCTGACGCAAGGCACGTAAAAGCACCCGCACAAAACATCCATGTAAACAGCGATACGGTGCATGATTTAAATAACATGAATGACTTTGACACGGCTTGACCTAGACTAAAGGAAAAACAAAATCCACTGTGGCTGCAGCTAAAAACCATGTTAAAATTCACAAGAATCTGTATCTCTTGTCATAAAAAGAACAGGCTATATCATCTTTTAGAAAAAAAAACTTCATAAATATTTTCATATTGAGAAACAACATGCTCCCTGGGTAGGAATAAAATCAGAATATTCAGATGTGATCAGGAATAAATGCAAATGGCATTTCTGAATACCCAGCTTTGATATTCACCAGGCCTAGTAGTCTGGACTATTTGTAGCACCATGGAAAATGCATTAGAAAATCACAAAAGTACATTACTTCAAACTAACCTTGAATGAGGTTCACTTAGTCCACAGTAACAAACAGCAATGATGCAGATAATTTTTTCAGATAATTTTTTAAAAATTACTCACTTACTTGATTTATCTAGCAAGAAAAATTCTGTATTATTTATTTTAGTACATCTCATGTACATAAAGCACCAGTTTAAATAAGATTATCAAACAACCTCTAGCCTCTTGTTACTCAACCTGAAAGTTCATTTCTCATCATTTCTATGTTACATGCTAAAAGTCAAGGAGGATAAAATTAGAATGGTGATAGATACTTAGAGAGAAGTTCAGTCCCCTTCCTTTCAAATGTTATGTCTCTCAAGTAAAACACAGATGAAGTAGCGAAATTTAAAAGGTTTTCTGCATTCTCTGGAACTTACCATCTCAGCAGAATAGTTTCTTCCTACTAGAGGATCCGCAGATGGGGGCGAGGACCACAGGGCTCATGCCCTGGCAGGCAAGGCCAGTTAACCTTGCTGCTGTGAGGCCATACTCTACATTTCTACTGCAAAACAACCTCACCAATGCTCACCACTGGTAAAGCAAGGAGGCCTGAGTGTGAACACAACTCAGGAAGCCCATTAAACACAGCGAAAAACTACCAGATGAGACTCCACCAAGGGTTAACCTCATAGATGAAAATCAGCACACTTGCCTCTTTACCAGGGGGAATCTTATTAGCAGCATGCCCTTCTCAGGCATGAAAAGGGAGAATGGTGCATCTAAGTTTATGCACAGTTCATAGTCAAGTGTAAAGATGCAGACTCTTGCATTTTTAAATTACAGGTTAAAAGTGACGCCCTAAAGAAAATTGATTTCTTCATAAATCAAATACAGTCTTATAAAAAAGCTGGAATGATGAGTAATTCAAATACAAAAACTCATATACAGAAAACCCCTTTTCCTTCCAAACTACTTAGGTCTGTACAGTTGACTCCACTGTACTTTGATCACAACACCCGAATAAAATATGAATAAAATGCTTCAGCTAGCACACCGAGGGCCACTTGACAACTGCATTAAAACTGCAGCATTTAAGCAGGGCTGAAAAACAACCATCCTTAAACGTGGTTTCCTTCTTGTTCTTGCATCCCACAGTGATTACTAAATGAAGGAATCTGGTCTGTAAACGACTGGGTCATCCACTGTCCGTTTGGAATGTCACCGAAAGTTGATTCTCCATTGTCAGCAGCTGGGATGGGGTGCGGGAGGGAGGAGAAGAACATTGCTCTATTTAAAAGCTTTAAGTGATATAGTTAGGAGATTTTAACAGTCCATTGTAGGAGAGTTGCTACTAAAATAGTTAAGCAAGATTCTTGAATACAACTTAAATTTCTATTCTAAGATACAGGAACTGATAAATTCTGTTAAATTCAAGGAGGGAAATGCACCAAGGAGCACTTCGAGTCAGTAACTTCAAGAAAATGAGCTTTAAAAGCCTGTGTAGTTAAACATCAAATAACCACCGAATTTTCACTCTAAATCACTAAATAGACTTTTTAAAGATTTTTTTTAATGTGGACCACTTTTAAAGTCTTTATGAAATTTGTTACAATATTGCTCCTATTTTGGTTTCCTGGCTGCAAGGCATGTGGGATCTTAGCTCCCCAAGAAGGGCTCGAACTCCGGCCCTCTGAAGTGTAAGGCGATATCCTAACCACTGGACTACCAGGAAAGTCCCCCAGTCACTAAATAGATTTCTGTATTTCCATTCCCATTCTTCAGTAATTAACTCTCTCCAAAAACAAACCCTCTTTCCCCCAATCCTGGCAAAACCAAGTCTTTGAACGGAAACAAAGGGGAGGGGACACACCCAGCTCATCCGAAGAGAATCCCCAAGGCTCACCAGGGCAGGGGCTTTCACTGTAAGCACCGCCGTACGCTGCTTCATAACCCGGGTCGTATTTTTCTTCCTTCACAGCCATCTTCTTTGCGTCCTCTGTGAGGAGGGTAGCAGGGATGTAAAACTGATTTTGTGTAACAATTTTGAAGATAGCTTTATTCAGCAATTATCAAGAATAAATCTTTTTCTTGAATTTCACATCCATGGAAACAACTTTCATATGAAACTCTTTTTAACATAAACAAAATAAACTCCTAAGAAAAGCCTATGAGATGTAATTTTAGGTGACCCACACTACTGCTTGGCTTCTCAGCATATGTAGGAACACCCAGATTAGACTGGAAGCCCTTGGTAAAAGGAGGTTTTAATAGTGACTAACACTTGTTATCAGAACACTGGCTGCCAATAAATCGTTTTCTTTTCTACTGCTTTTAAATTCACAACATACTTTCTATAAGGTAGACATACACGACACGAGCAATAGGACTGATTAACGGTAACGCACCCTGGGCGAGCTGAAGGTCAAACGTATACTGCACTTCTTGAACGTCTGTGTTTCGTTCAATGCCTTTCAGCTGATCTCGTAAGTCCTTCAGCTTAATGTAGTAATGCACCTTGTCCTGGGCACGAGGAAACTGCGCACATCTGGCACTGGATGACGGCATCACATAGCAGAGCTAGAACCGTAACAGTTTACAGCTACAGAAATCCTTCAATCCTGCTGAAGCCACTCATGTTGAGATTAGAAGCCTTCTTTTTCTTTGGGTCAATAACTTGATACTTACCACATTGCCATATATGCAAAATCCGTAAGAGCAGTTGTGTTTGAGTTCAAATTCCTAATATTTCCTTATTACAAAGTCAATAAATCGAAACCAATGAACCTTTTCCCTTCAGTGTTTGTACCAAAGGGCATGTAAGTATACAATGAAAAGTCTTTCCTCCTCATTCTGTTTCCATCCACCTAGTTCTCCTTCCCAAAGGCAATCCTCATTGCTACTTCCAGAGGTACTCCATGAATTTAGAATCAAATGTGTCTGATGATGTGTACTCTCCTTCACCCTTTTTAAAAACACACAAACGGTAACATGCTCTACTCCCTGTCCTGCACCCTGCTTTTTTACTCAACAGTGTCTCTCAGAGGTAACTCTGTATCAGGTATCCACATCAGAATAAGCTTCCTTTTCTATAGTTGTGTAGCAGCAGTTTCATAATTTATTTAACCAACGTCTACCTACAGGCATTCAGGTTGTTTCCAACCTTTTAATATTATAAACTGCAGTGAAAAAGCTTGTACATATTTAAATTTGAATATATGTGACTGTGTCTGTTGGATACGTTTCTAGAAATGGAATAGCTAGAAAGCAGGATATTTGCATTTATCATTTTGGATGATGGTGACAAACTGCCCTTCATAGAGTATATAAAAATACATATCTTATATATAAAAGAGAGAGGCTGCTCAATTATGGACTTTCCAGCTGTAATTTTTTGTAATTTTTAAATTGGCCTCTATACCATGTATTATAGAAAAAAACCCCAAACCATTATTGACTTATTTTGTTTTGTTTATGCAATATTTAGAAAAGCCTGATTCAGAGGTATAAATGCTACCAGGTTTTTGTAATAGCACATTTTTCCAATCTCAAGACAGCCTTCAATTAAAGTGATCCAGAAACTTGAAAAAGCAGATGTTTTTCAAAGCTGGATCACTAACATCATCAATATCTATGAATATTTCATGATAAACAGTAAATTTTATAAGACAAATGCACTCACAGATCATTGTGGGAGCCAAAACTACCTAACTCGATATGATTCAGATTCACTTATTATCGCACTACTGTGATCACACATCCCAAGAGATGTACCGAGGCTCCTCTGGCATTTCAGGGACAATAATGCTCCTTTATAGGAAGGAGTGAATCATATCTGCAATTTTACCCAAGGAGACAAGGGTACGCCTCTATTTAAAGAGTGACCAGTGCTACAACCTACTTTATCAATTACACATTTACTAGTTAAAAACAGAAGAAATTATAAAGGAAGTTAAAATATATACTGGCGGCAGTATTCTGAGGTTTCCACAGAAACTTGTTGGCACGCTGGCTTATCATTTAAAATATCGTCTACAGCACAGAAGTCTGTGCATGTGTATTTTTATTTCAGAAGTTGTAAACAAAACTTAAAACTATATTTAAGAAGCAAAATTTGAACCAAATGTCTGCAGAAACTCCACAGAAATTCATAGTGTTTTAAAACCAATGTGTTATTGTATGTGCCCTTATGTATAAGGACAACAGCACCAAATGCCAGTCAGGTTGGCAGGATGCCTGTCTGCGACTGGGCTGTTCTGTTTATACGGCTCTAACGCGAGACTGGGCCAAGATACACCAACAAGGGTGATCAGCAGTTTCACTGATCAGGATCATGTCTAAATTTACATGCTTGTTTCACAACGGAATAAGGGCTAACACACTAGAATTTGGCGAGAATATCCCATCAAATGTATTTTGAATGCAGCATGTGAGCAACCTCCTCTCAATATTTTGGCCAAATAATGTAACTAACGTAATGTTATAAAGGCATTTATCTGACAAATGTTTCTTTTTCTAATACAACTACAAAAGTATCTGAATTAATCTGCAACTATTAGTTCAAGTTACTATGCAGATATTATTCCACAAAATACAGTGCTTTTTTTTTTAATGGCAAAAATTACAAATGGACAGAACAAATAAAAAGGGAAAACTAGATAGAAAAAATTTCGTATTTATCTGATTTACAAATGCAGTTTTAAGGACTTACAGTTTCTGTGTCTGGGATCTTATGGGGTTGAAGTCCAAACTCTAAGTTCTTAACCTTTACTCCAAAAACTTCCTTACTAAAAATTTCGTAAATACCTAAAATGAAATACAAATATATTTACATTGCGCATAATGTTAATCGAAGAAAAAAGATAAAATTTAAAAGTAAATCTTACATTTTCCATTAAACACTGCTATTCGTGGCTGATATTTCTGTAATTTCTGCACTAGAATACGTCCTCCTTCACGGAATTCTTTACTAAAATTGAATTAAAAAGTAGTCAAAATATAAATATGGCAGTATTTATAATGTGCTAAATTCAGACAGCTTTCAATAAAAGAGCAAATCATAAAACTACTATGCTCAGCTTGAACTAGTTAGATACTTAGGATGCTCCTGGAGTGTATAAGGCACAATTATGGCCAAGGTTCCAACCCATCAAACCAAATGTTCCATAATCACCTGGAAAGATCCTTGCTGCCTGGTGTTGTCCTTTCCACCATATTGGTAAATCCAATACCATATTTCCCTGGTAGAGTGTGATCGTCCATGTGACTCAGTTGGACCTCACTCAGCCCTGACATAAATAGGCACTTCCCTGTGAACAAGAGAGTTTAATTTAGAAAAAGTTCAGTTTATTTCTGTAGAAGGTCAAAGGTTTTTCTGCCCCATGAATGGATGTGGGTCTATTCTTGAAATTAAAAAAAAGAAAAAAGATTGAGTATATTTTAAAAATTATAACATAGGTCAAATACCATACCAAGCAGTTATTATGTGCTGGGTACTATGCTAAGTCCTTCATATGGATTATTTCATTTAATTATCATAGTTATCTTAAGAGATATCTCTATTATTTATCTCCTTTTAATAGGGGGTCGAAGGAAATGCTTGTTGAGTACACAGCTAGGCAGCGTAGTAAACTCTGAAACTGTTTAGCTTTTTAATAACTGAGTACCACCACCTGCCCCTGGAAAACCCCAAACAGATAAAATATACACTAGTGACTCAGGGCTTCAGACATACTGACAGAGGAGAAAATAAAAAGTGAAATATCTCTAGAAATTTTTTTTTTCAAATAATGGAGACAACATGTTATTAGTTCTAAAAATATATTACTATAATTTGTCCTCAAAGTGTTTTTCTTTTCTTTTTTCTTGGCTGCACTGCATACATGTAGGATCTTAGTTCCCTGACCAGGGACTGAACCCATGGACCCTGCAGTGTAAGTGCTGAGTCACTGGACCATCAGGGAAGTCCCTGTCCTGGAATTTTTTAAATGCTGCACTAAGATAATCAGCTAGTGTTTCCTGATAATCTGTTGCACTCCTGATTATCTGTTAGGCAGTGTTAGATAAGATGATTTATATATAGGATAATAAACAGGAGTTATACTTGGTTTTAAAGCTCACTCTACAAGTATGAGGGACTTTAATACTAATTTCTGCTAGATGGAAATTACCCGCAGAGGATGTCTACAATCAGAGCATTTCTTAACTATTACTACTTGATGGCCAATGTATTTCATTTCTCCTAGGAAATAAGATGAGTAGAAATCTGGAAAGGTATTAAGTTTTCTGTCTGCATTGGCATGATGTATTGTTACTATTCTGTAGATAACAACTAAAAAAAGAAAAATTGTTTTAAAAAAAGGTAGTAAAACTCACTGAAAACAAACAAAAGAGAAAGTATTCCTTTCCATACCCCTCCACTTTTTTTTTTCTTTACCCCTCCACTCTTATAAACCAAAATGTTAAGTGTCAGAGGATGTTAAAACCTTTCATTTTTGTGTACACACACATTGAAAAGATGTATGTATACTTACTCAACCAATTTCTTTTTTTTTTTTTTGACCTTGCAACAATGTCTTTTATTATGTATGGGTTTTTTAAAATTATTTATTCAATATCTCCATACACAGGCAAAAAAAAAATGTTCGGCATATTAGAACTTGCAAACCTGATCACTGCATAGAGAAGGCAACATTATCTCTATAGCATGCTTAACCAGGAGGCCAGTTCATCTGCCGACCTCCAAGAACCTGGAGATGAACATGATAAACAGACTGGTCCCCATCTGAACCTTCATTCACCACCATTCGATAGCCCTTCTTTAGGCCCAGATCAGCAGCACATTTCTTGCCAACAATCATCAAATGCCCAAGAAGACTTTCATCATTATCTTCTGCTGCAGAAATCTGGGATATATGTTTCTTGGGTATCACCAAAAAAATGTGTTGGTGCTTGGGGGGAAATGTCATGGAAAGCAAGACACTGGTCATCCTCATAAATGATTTTGGCTGGGATTTCCTTGCGAATGATCATCCTGAAGATTGTGTTGCCACCAGGCTGGGCAACCTGAGCCTTGGCGATCTCATCTGCCATCTCTGCCTCCCTCCCGAGCAGTCGGCCGGGGAGAAGGTCGGGAGGAGGGAGGAGCCGGGGGCCACCAATTTCTTTTTAAAAACACATTTTGGTTTAAAAAAAAAAAACCAGACAAACCCAAACTATTAACAAGGACATCTAGTTTAAAAGTAAAATAGTAAAAGAAGGTTAACCACTTACAAAAATGGTTTCCAGGCCCAGGGTAGTGATGCCCTTTGTAAGCAGCCATCAGTCCTGGATTTATGCCAATCTACAAAACAAAATGTTTATATATATTAGTCTTGAAAAGTAGGCTTATGTCTTAGGGCTTCTGTGCAGGAGTGGTGAATTGATTAAAATAAAAATTTAATCCAGCATCATAAGCTTTATCAATTATCTACTCTTGACCTGAACAAAGTATTCCATTTTGAGGAAAGAGATTTCCTTTATATTAAAGTTTTGATGTTTTTTTTTTTTCTTTGTGGCTGCGTTGTGTGGTTTGGGGAATGTTCCCTGACCAGAGACTAACCCTGGGCCCTGATAGTGAAGGCCTGGAATCCTAACCACTAGGCCAATGGGGAGCTCCTTGCTGTTGCTTTTAAAAACCAGTTTGAGTGCCTCACATCCCCAGCACCCTCACTCCCAACTGTCCTGCAACAATCAATCAACCAGAGCTCATGTCCAGCTGCAAGTCTGTTTCTCAGCTCCCCAAAAGCAGCTGACTCCACATCACCTACACAGTTGCTTACATGCTGATGTTTCTTACAGCTACTGACAAAAATCAAAGTTCAAAATGAGTATTATCATTCATGGAGAAACCAGTGTCATGCAACCTAAGTGATTCGTGTGGATCATTCGTGTAATTGCCAGGGGATCCACTCCATGCTATCATCACGCCTGCTTCACCAATGAGCAAATTAAGTGTTCAGGAAGGCTAACGCTTATCTATGGTCATACACCCACATGGCAACATCTGAAACCAGACAGCCCTGCCCTAGAGCCCACCCTCTTAAACACAGCCATATGATACAACCTGAAGAAGGTGACACCATTTACCACCAAAAGGATTCTCAGAAATGGTTCTTTTCAGCAAAATGCTCTTTGCAAGGATATGGTTAAGTCACAATCCACCAATGCTACTTATAAACCCAAAGGAGGACAAAATCCTTACAATTACAATGTCCAGATTGAAGGTCAAAATGTCTGGTAGAGTCTTGGTCAGAAGTTCAGCTTCTGAAACACCATTGAAACGGTCCACTTTTCTTTTCACTTTAAATGTGTCTGTAATTTTTTCTTGCTTTTCTTTTGACTTTGTGGACTTGCCAGATTTTTTGGTCTCAGCAGGTTTTGGGGGCTCCACTGGCGTTTTTGGTTCTGTTGTTCTGGGTTTTCTTTTCCTTCCTTTTGGAGGAGTCTCTGAAACACAATGATTTCCAGGATATAGCTGCAGAAAACCTTAAATTACTAACTTTATGCAGCTTTCCCCGAAAAGTCACCCATCAACATCCTTAGCTTTTTCTTCTATTTCCCGACATCATTCTCCTCTGTAACGTCTCCCCCTTCCTTCACCGGAGAACTGGGTCTGTGTGGTCCCAGCCCCATCTTCCTTCCTCCGCTGGCAGTTCTTGGGATGAAAGACCCTTAACGATCACAGATTGATTTTCCGTACACTCTTACCTGGCATCATGGCTTCTCCAGGGACACAAAGTAGCTACATACCATTTATAAGAATTCTAAATGTAAATACATAAATAATTAAATGAACAAATAGAAATACAGGGAGGAAAGGAAACATTTTAACTCAGTTTCCCCGTAATTTCCAGCAGAAGAAAACTTCAAATGGCTTGTGAGTTTTCTTTCCCCTGAACTGAGTGTATATTCTGTTCTTCACACAGTTGAAGAGGTGAATTGAGAGATGCCAGAGATGAACTCTCTGGGCTGGCAGTGTTGGTCTAAAGGTAAGACTAGGACTCTGATCTCAGGACTTTAAACAGTTTCTCAACCTTGGCCCTGCTGACATCTTAGGCAGAATAATTTAGTAACCATGGCCTCTACTCCCTAGATGCCAGTAGCATCCTGCCAGTCATGATTGACCAGGTGTCTCCAGACAATGCCATACACCCCTCAGGGGAAATTACCCGTGGACAAGAACGAGTGACATAAAACTCTCCAACAAGAAGCCTTGCTTTTTCACCCACAACTCCCCTAATACGGCTCTTCATCTCTTAGGCCCCGACTCTATTCCACTACTATTTGGCGTTTTCTCATCTGAGCCTTCCATCCATCCTCTGTTCTCCTCACATTGCTTCAGCCACTGTCTGTGCCAAGGGATCCACCTCCATCAGCTTGCAGCTGTCCTAGTGCTTCCCGCCCAGAAAAACAGAAGAGTTGAAGGCAGGGGGACCTTCAGCACAGAGGAGTTACATGTGCTCTGCAACCATAAACGAACTCAGCACTCTCCTCACACCACACTGATGCACGGTGGAAAGTCATTACCCTCTCCCCACCACCCACTGCTGAATCTGTCCTCTTCTCCTCTAACTCTCTGTCTTGGTGAATGGTACCTCCTTCGTCCAACTGCCTGGGAGTGACTTCCAAACTCCTCTATCTTCCTCATCCCCCTGCATGAAATCCATTAACATGGCCATGCCTCCAAGTTCTGCCCTGCTCTCTACCATCTTATTTTATCTATATTATTAGATATATATTTTACATATCTCTGTTACAGTCTGTCCTCTAGAATATTCAAATGTCAATATATTTATTAAGTCACTCTCTGTTTCCATTCTGTCTATAGCTTCCTATTGCCTTCAGAGCACCCACACTTTCTTTAGGTTAAGCAAGCCTTGCTTGCTCCCATCAAAACTCCTCTCTCACTGCTTCTTTGCTCCACTCCAGTCTGCAATGACAGAGAATTATGGCTTTTCAACCATGTCATGCTTCTTTACGTCTGTAGTTTGATGCATGCCGCTCCCTCGGCCTGAACTTTCCCCTTCCCACTCTTCCAGTCCTGCTCCCTCACCCTGGAACTTCGGAGTCCCAAGCAGCTGCCTCTGAGCCTCGGTCCGAGTTAGGTGCCAGCCCCACAGCACCCTGTGTCCCTGTTCACCACGTGGTGTGCTGAGGAGTTTCACCTTCACTTTTATTTTCTCCTATGAGACGATTTGAGGGCAGAAGCTATGTTCTTTTATCCCCCCAAACCTATCAGAGTGCCTGAAACACAGTAAGTACTTAAAAAGTAGACTGAATTTTTTAACACAAAAACAGAGCTAAAATTCATCATCAAACCCTTTCTTAAATAAGTTGGCTGATGCAATGGTAATTTTCTAAACCATCCTGGTGAAAGCTACCTTGTGTGGGTTCCTGAGCAGGTGCTGAGGCTGGAACTTCGGCTGGCATTTCTTGTGCATTCGTAACTGCCATATTAGGAACTTCAGTCATCATTTGTTGGAGTGGAAATGTATAAAAAGCTTGAGCTTGCTGAAGAGAATAGCTGAAAGAACAATTAAGGATAAGATAGGAAGACAAAATCACCCAAAGGTAAGTTTAAACGATCTGCTCTTAAAAAGCCCAAGGATTCAATTATTTCTAACCAGATTATAGAATTTATTTAGAGTTGACAACAGGAGCAAAAAGAGGAGGAAGATCTATTCCCATATGTACATTTACCCAATCTTCACCTGGTGCCTACTAACCAACTATAATTAACTCTCACACACTGATGTGTCATCAGTAAAACTTACCGGTCCTGTTAGGCAAGCCTATACTTTCCCTGAAATGAGATCATGGGAACTTTCTAGCAGAGAGCTCAAAGGCCCACCAGCCCATACAGAGTTGAAATACCCACAAAAATAATCTGTATTCCTACCTCAGTATCTAATTCTCTTGTCACAGAAATCCTCTGCAATGTAACCTTTTTATGTTCAGCTTTGAGCTGTAGTTGATACACCGCAACATTGTTTAAGTTTAATGTGTACAACAGTGCTGACCTGGCACACATATAGGACAAAATGATCACCATCAAAGCCTTAGCGAACACTGCCACCAGGGCACCTAATTACCGTTTCTTTTTTGTGGTGAGAACATTTCAGATCTGCTCTCAGCAACTTTCAAGTACATCCTCAGGATCATTAGCTAGAATCACCATGCTGTACATTTTAGATCCCCAGAACCTGTTAATCTTACAACCTGAGGTTCATGCCCTTTGACCACCATCTCCCCATTCTACTTGCCCCCCATCTGTTTTTTAGTCGTTGCTGGATTTTCTGCCATTAAATGAGGATTAGAAATAGACATTTCTATAAATATCTGTGAATTTACTCGAAAGACCACTCTAAACTTCTCTTCTGAACACGATTTAAACTCTGTTCAGAGTGTTTGGTTCAATGTAAGAAACACAGGCCTTCACAATACTGCTAAAAAGTATTTCTGGGGGCTATAAACTACTACCTCAAGCTGTTGCTATCGGCTAGGGAAGTAAATACATGTTTTATGAAACTAAAGTGACAGCTGATGCCAAAAAATGCCCTTAAATATGCAGAAGGAAGAAAAGCACTAGGAAATAAAATGAGTAACTATGTTTACCATTTGGAGAGAAAAGCCATGTTTTCTCTGACAAGCTACTCTACTTAATGGTTTTCTCTTTCTGTGACGTGTGGAGAAAGGAAACAGGGTGCTCAGAAAGCAGAGGTTAAAAAAGTAAACTAAAAAAAAAAAGGCAAACTAGTACACTGTAAATGGGTGAGCTTCACAACATGTAAATCATATGTTAATATATTAATAAAATGTGTTTTGCTTTGTTTTTTTTAAAAAGGCAAACCAAAATATTTCCAGGATAAACTTAAATGGCCCATGCAGACACAGGGTCACAGACTATTGGCAGGGTAGCTAGGCTAGAACACTGGATACTGAAAGAAAAACTGGGGCCCAAACTCAATGGACAAACTACTGGGGGAGCATTTTAGCTTCAAGCTATCTTTAAGGGTTAAGATGGTAAGGAAAAGGTGAAGAATTAGTGAAAAAGATATTAAACTATCTTAAAAGAGTTTTATTTCTTTCAATAGTTTTCAAATTATACAAAAATAAAGACAATACAGTGATTTAGTACACTACAGTACATCAACATGAGAACATTATGCAGTTACAAAAATTAAGTTTATTAATATTTAAAAGCACAGAGAATGTTTAATATAAGGTGGAAAAGAATACAAAATGGCATTGTGAGCCAAGGCTGCACATGGGGAAAGCATGTAGGAAAGTACTAGAAATTAAGAGGTAAAATTGAAAAGAAGCAAAGGGCTTAAACCTTGCCTGGCACAAAGTCAAATGTCCTCTTTTTTCATACTTTTCTCTAGTAACACTCATAGCTCTTTTGGATGAACTAGTTGTTCCATGTTAAAGACTCAGATATTCTAATGAGAGCTGGATATAGCTGAGTTAGTAGAGAGATCTCGTATGGCTGCCCTCTGGAAATTCTAGTGAAATATAATGTGATTTTTGATTGTGGCCAGTAACAGGTTCCTGAGACGCCACCAGCCCCATTCAGCTTGAATGTATAACAGAACACTCCTGCGGTCACGGTGAGTGAGTGGCTGAAAGCGTGCAGGAAGGTCTGTCCTTAGTTTGCCACACCGTCATCAAGACAGCGTCTCACTCTCCCCCATGTATACTGCTACGGCTCTGAGTTTCACGCGTCTGTCCCATTTTGAGCACTTCACAAAAATCCACTCCTAAAAATACATAAATCAGGGAAACAACATTCACATTACAAAAGGGTTGTGAACTTAAAAACATTTCCAAAATGTGGCTCCATTAGCATACTTACAGATCATTAAATTCTGAGGTTCAAAAACTGAAAATTGAAGTTTTAGATGTCAACTGGCTGAAGAAAAAGTAAAAAATAAGAGAAAATGCAGTCTTATTTTAGACATATGTATCAATTTAGAAAAAATTCAGAAACTTGTCTATAATATAGATGTGTCCCTTAACTGTTCTAAAATTATCCCTGGCAGTTTATCATAAGATGAATTAGAAAGGAAATAGAGAAGGCTATGGATAATAGAAAGTGTAAATTCTGAGGTAATATACTCTTTTTGAGCATTTGATTTAGCTTGATCATCTTAACAGCTTCCTAACAACAGCTGGAACAAAAGGAAAGGGGGTGGACTACAACATTCTTACTACTTGGCAGAGGACAGAATTCCACCTGTACGAAAACCTTCATGAACTACAATTCTGGATAATTTAATTTCCTATTATCTAATAAAGGTTAAGTTTGGAAGCAGCATGAACCTATTTCAATCTTAATGTGGATATAATTCCCAAATACATTTGCTGTATATATAAACATAGAATAACTGCCCCTTCGTATCAGAATTCTGCAGTGTTTATAACAATAATTTTCTCTGTATGAGAGACAGTTAAAGAGGAGCAATTAGTTAAGTCTTTCATCCTCTGAGGACCTCCATTTCCTCCCCATGAAAATGAGGGTGAGATTTCTGTGATTTCCACATATAAGGAGAAAGTGCAGGAAATAGGACCAAATCTGTCCAGACTCACAAGAGGCCCTGAAACATTCCTCCATTTAACACCCTCTTCATTTGAACAGTGCTCAGAGGACTGGTTTTCTACCACTGTCTGAAATTTGTTGAAGTGTGCATTTTTGAACTCTTTCTCAAAATACACACAAACACACATATACACACAGTCGATTAAGTAAGGAGTCCAGTTCATTTGGATTTTGCTGTTTTTCAAAAAACTAACATTTGGAGGTTTCTCTAAGATGAGTAACTTCTTTAATCCTCAGTCATTTCCCACTGTTCTAAAGATGTAAGTTGCTTTTTCTCTAAATACATTTGTCTTAGGTTGCTATACAAAACACCACAGATTGAGTGGCTTATAAATAACAAATACCTGTGTCTCACAGTTCTGGGGGTTGGAAAGTTCAAGTTCAAAGTGCTGGCAGACTCAGTGTCTGGAGAGTGCCTGCTTTCTGGCTCACCTTCGGTTGCCTTCTTGCTGTGTCCTCACATGGCAGAAAGGGTTAGGGGTCTCTCTTTCACAGAGACACTACTCCCGTTTAGGTGGGCTTGGGCCTCATGGCCTCATGACCTCCAAAAGACCCCATCTCCCAATGTCCACACTGGGGCTTAGAGGTTTCAACATAAGAATTCTGGATAGACACAAACAACACAGCAATATTTTATTACCTTCATTTATTTATTTATTTAATTACCTTCATTTAAATAAGCATATATAACACTGAACACTTACAAAATATCAATGTCGAATAAACCAAATGCTCAACCAAAAGGGACTATTACATAAATTATGATGAAATACTATCTAGCTATCTAAAAGACAATAAACAAAGCTGAGCACCAAAGAATTGATGCTTTTGAATTGTGGTGTTGGAGAAGACTCTTGAGAGTCCCTTCGACTGCAAGGAGATTCAACCAGTCCATCCTAAAGGAAATCAGTTCAGAATATTCATTGGAAGGACTGATGCTGAAGCTGAAAATCCAACACTTTGACCACCTGATGCAAAGAACTGACTCACTGGAAAAGACCCTGATGCTGAGAGAGATTGAAGAGGGGAGGAGAAGGGGACGACAGAGGATCAGATGGTTGGATGGCATCACCGACTCAATGAGTTTGAGTAAACTCCGGGAGTCGGTGATAAGACAGGGAAGCCTGGTGTGCTGCAGTCCATGGAGTCACAAAGAGTCAGGCGTGACTGAGCGACTGAACTGAACTATCTAAAGTTGACAGTCAATATTGCTAAGTGGGAATGTGTGCATTCACCGTGCATTACGGGGTGCTTGCTGTGCACAATCTATTTAGATGCTGTGAACTCAAAAAACAGAACGAGCCAGAACCCCCAACTTATTGAACTCTTCTGCATACAGCATAATTTCAAGTTTCCTCACTATCTGATCACTTTTTTGGAGCTTAAGATAAAATAAAAATGCTCCATAGCCTCACTGACCTGAAACTGAGCAGGGTGGTCAGAGTCTTCATTCTGGAGACACATCACAAAATCCACCCCATTAGCTTCCTGGCACCCACATTGTACTGTTGATTCGCACTGAGTTTACCGTCAGTGAAAACTGCCCTTCACTGCTGCTCCCTCATCTCACACTAAAAGATGCTTCCCATTCTAGTCAGTCGGGACTAACCTGGATTCTGACTCAGTCTATCAATTCCACAAACTCCTTCCAGAGTTGGGTCACTCAAATATTTTATCAGAGTGCCATTAGCACCTCGAAGCTGTTAAACTGTGAAAAGTTGGGGCAGGAGGGCTACACGGCACATCAGCACAGACCTCTCTTCCATCTGCCTTTGACCCTCTGTAGTAAAGCAGTTTTGATTTCACTCAATAGGACCACCATTGCCAACATCTGCTGGATCATGGGAAAAGCAGGAGAGCTCCAGAAAAACATCTACTTCTGCTTTATTGGCTATGCCAAAGCCTTTGACTGTGTGGATCACAGTAAACTGTGGAAAATTCTGAAAGAGATGGAAATACCACACCAGCTGACCTGCCTGTTCAGAAACCTGTATGCAGGTCAGGAAGCAACAGTTAGAACTGGACATGGAACAACAGACTGGTTCCAAATAGGAAAAGGAGTACATCAAGGCTGTATATTGTCACCCTGCTTATTTAACTTATATGCAGAGTACATCAACAGAAACGCTTGGCTGGAAGAAGCACAAGCTGGAATCAAGATTGCCAGGAGAAATATCAATAACCTCAGATATGCAGATGACACCACCCTTATGGCAGAAAGTGAAGAACAACTAAAGAGCCTCTTGATGAAAGTGAAAGAGCAGAGTGAAAAAGTTGGCTTAAAGCTCAACATTCAGAAAACTAAGATTATAGCATCTGGTCCCATCACTCAGAAAGAGATGACAGGAGTACCTAAAATATTTAATCATCTCCTGTTGCCTTTGTTTTTGTTATGACAAATGTATTATATACCAGGCACTGTTTTGGGGATTTTGTTTGCTTTTTTGTTTTTGGTCACACGGCTTATGGGATCTTAGTTCCCCAGCCTGTCATTTCCTCCTGATGCTATCTAACCTAGTATCATTATCAAAAGGGGAAAAAACCTAGCTGGGTAGGTCTTGCTTTATTCAACTCATACTGTTGTCTAATGATCAACAGCTCCTTTTAAATATGCTCAATAACCACTGAGAAATAAAAATTTTATTGAGGATCAAAGTCAGTAAATTCCATGGCAGATTCTACCTTTGGAAAATAAAAGGGACCCATGTGTTTATATTTGGGCTTTAGGCCCCTCCCCTGTTGTCGGCAAATTCTTAAAGAATGTTGTAATCTGGCCTCTCACTTGAAATACAACTGATTTGGGCCAAGAAACAGTACTTCTGCTAGAGCAGCTGAAGTGAAGTCGCTCAGTCATGTCCGACTCTTTGCGACCGCATGGACTGTAGCCCACCAGGCTCCTCTGTCCATGGGATTCTCCAGGTAGAATATTGGAGTGGGTTGCCAGCTGAAACTTCTCTTAAATGCCCTCATTGATCTTGACCTTTAAATCTCTCTTACAGATACCTATTTGCCATATTCCATCTACACTCAATTTTCTTAACATAAAATGAAAAATAAAAATCAGAACTAAGTGCTTATGTTTTCTGTCATCTAACATGTCAGTGAACTAGGAAGAAAACCCAAACCTTTCTTGTCCTTCTTGTTGTCTACACTAATGATAACAAGTTCTTAGTCTCTTTAACATATCTAGACAGTCCAATCTCATTTGAGGGTTAATCTTTCCTGTCTGTATTCTCAGTGGTCTGTTTTACCTTTCCAGTTATTATTGATTCAGCATCCTACTTCCCATCTTTGGTAAATCTTTTTTTTTCATTTATTTTTATTAGTTGGAGGCTAATTACTTTACAATATTGTAGTGGGTTTTGTCATACATTGACATGAATCAGCCGTGGATTCCCCATCCCGATCCCCCCTCCCACCTCCCTCTCTACCCGATCCCTCTGGGTCTTCCCAGTGCACCAGGCCCAAGCACTTCTCTCATGCATCCAACCTGGGCTGGTGATCTGTTTCACCCTAGATAATACACGTTTCGATGCTGTTCTCTCGAAACATCCCACCCTCGCCTTCTCCCACAGAGTCCAAAAGTCTGTTCTGTACATCTGTGTCTCTTTTTGTTTTGCACATAGGGTTATCATTACCATTTTTCTAAATTCCATATATATGTGTTAGTATGCTGTAATGGTCTTTATCTTTCTGGCTTACTTCACTCTGTATGATGGGCTCCAGTTTCATCCATCTCATTAGAACTGATTCAAATGAATTCTTTTTAATGGCTGAGTAATATTCCATGGTGTATATATGTACCACAGCTTCCTTATCCATTCGTCTGCTGATGGGCATCTAGGTTGCTTCCATGTCCTGGCTATTAGAAACAGTGCTGCGATGAACATTGGGGTGCACGTGTCTCTTTCAGATCTGGTTTCCTTGGTGTGTATGCCCAAAAGTGGGATTGCTGGGTCATATGGCAGTTCTATTTCCAGTTTTTTAAGGAATCTCCACACTGTTCTCCATAGCGGCTGTACTAGTTTGCATTTCCACCAACAGTGTAAGAGGGTTCCCTTTTCTCCACACCCTCTCCAGCATTTATTGCTTGTAGACTTTTGGATAGCAGCCATCCTGACTGGCGTGTAATGGTACCTCATTGTGGTTTTGATTTGCAGGTAAATCTCTTTTTCACGTTTGAGCTCATTAGAAACATACACTGGTCCTCTTCTTTTCTTCTTTCTGGTTAGTACTTTTTAAGACTCTTGAACTCTCTTCTCATTCTTAAAAAAAGGGTCTACATCTATAAGTTTTTTAAAATTAATCTCTTCCAAAATAAAAAGATTAACTATACCAAACATTCCATGATGAGCACAAAGTCAAGTATGACAAAGCACTACTTTCTCAGGATTACCGGGGCCCGAGTCATTTCAGAATCCCCAACAAAAAACGCCTTAGAGTATTAACACAGAGTTCCCCATACTTCCCAAAGTGAAAGCGTTACAAGTCAGAATAAAAAATGGTCTATAACCCAGTGGATTCAGTTAAGACCAAACAAAAGTCAGACAGTTTTGAGCTAAACATTGTACCAGAGAAACCTATTATTTTGCTGTAAGCCACTCCCATTGTGCATTCTAAAACCTACACGGTGGCCAACTGGACTCTGCCATTTTAAGGTACTTGAGCGAGCAGATTTTGGTGTCTCCGAAGGGGCTGGAACTAATCTATGGATACAAGAGAGATGACTGCAATCTATTTGATGGTAGGCGTTTACCCAAGTTTCAATTCTGATCTGAATGAAAATCATAAAGACAGGAGCGATTTCCACAAGTTTTATTTATAAAGTTCCTTAGGGAAAGACATGGAGTTCCTTATTTCAGGATTTGATTCGTAATGTCAGGATGAAGTCTGCACTTTATATCCTTCCCTAAACTCTAAGACAATCTCTGTTGGTTACTAAAGCACTCCTCTTCCACCTAACACTGACTCACAGCATGTCAGAACCAGATTCCACAGACGCCCTATTTTACAGACATCAACAGGCCCAGAGAACTTCAGAGTCTTCCTCAAGTTTAGAGCCCCCAATCAGGATAATTCTTAATGGGGTCTAATAGTATTGTGTTCCTATGTAAATTTTATTTTTCTTTCTTTTAAAAGACTCTGTTTCTATACTTAGTTTTTCATTTGGCTTTCCATCAGAAGTTCCAATTTCGAAATCTCTGCTTTTGCAAAACTCCCCACGCACCTCACACTCCCCAAAGGACATATGACAAGTAAATACTTAAGATCGTCCCCAAGACCACTAGAACACACTTTTACACGACTTACTAGAAGTGTTATTCCTAGGTCAGAATTCAAGAGCTCTAGAATGGCCACGTTACCCACCTCGCGCCCTTTAGGTACAGCGTTGAGGAAGAAAGCCACAGTAACCTACAACTCTGAGATGAAAACTCCTAGAGTGATACATGTGGCAGTCACTTCATCCTTCCAGCTGTGCACGATAATGGAGGGTGAAGGGAAATGTAGCGGAGAAAGGTAACCAGAAAGAAACATTACTTGGAGACTGCTGGTTGCTTACTACCGCGTTTTAATGTCAGCTAAGTGTCTGGATGGGTACTTCCCCGGTGCCTCAGACAGTAAGGCGTCTACCTACAATGTGGGAGACCCGGGTTCGATCCCTGGGTCGGGAAGATCCTCTGGAGAAGGAAATGGCAACCCACTCCACTACCCTTGCCTGGAAAATCCCATGGATGGAGGAGCATGGTAGGCTACAGTCCACGGGGTCGCAGAGTCGGACACAACTGAGCGACTGAACTGAACTGAAGCGTCTGGAAGGACTTAGGTAAAAAGTGGCCTGAGCGGGCCGCCAGTGCGCGTGGGCGGCCCGGACCTTGGTACAGGGACCGCGGTCTTAAGGAGCCCCGGCGTGTGTGCGTGCGTGTGCGTGCGTGTGCGCGTGCGCCCGCGGCCTGCCCCGCGGCGGGGGGCGCGGGGGGAGGGGCGGTGTTCCGCCCCGGCCTTACCTGCCCGCGTTCTCCGCTTCCATTCCCTGCTGCCGCTCGCGCGCGCAGCTCCTCTGGCGGCAACCCAGCGACTCTGTAGTCCCGCGGCGCACGTACGGCGGTACGGTAATAACCAGACACGCGGACTCGACTGCCGGCAGAACTCGGACAGTGGCTGGGGCACAGGCTCCTCCCCCAAGTTTCCAACTCCCCCTCCCCCAGCAGGCCAGCCCCACCCTCAGCGCTGCGCTTCCGTCTGCTCAGAGCCAAATCCCACGCCCTGTGGTTATCACGTGATGCCCGGCCGTCCAGTCACGTTCGAGCTCCTCTCGTTGGTTCTTCTGCTTGCCACTTGGCCTTTCGGGAAGGGTGGAGGATAAAAAGGCTGGGAGGGCGCGCACTATGCTGACGTAAGCTTTTGTCCTGCCTGAGTGTTCGGTGGTGGGTGGGTGGTGGGCGCTTGCGAGTTGGTGAAGTCCTCGGCGCCGTGTAGGTGCGGATTTTATGCTTGTTAGGACTATCCGGTCTTTCCCACCCAACATTTTATTATGATTAAAAACAGTGCTTTCAGTCATCCAGACAGTACGGTACTGGCACAAAGACAGAAATATAGATCAATGGAACAGAATAGAAAGCCCAGAGATAAATCCACGAACCTATGGTCACCTTATCTTTGACAAAGGAGGCAAGGATATACAATGGAAAACAGACAACCTCTTTAACAAGTGGTGCTGGGAAAACTGGTCAACCACCTGTAAAAGAATGAAACTAGAACGCTTTCTAACACCATACACAAAAATAAGCTCAAAATGGATTAAAGATCTAAATGCAAGACCAGAAACTATAAAACTCCTAGAGGAGAACATAGGCAAAACACTCTCCGACTTAAATCACAGCAGGATCCTCTACGACCCACATCCCAGAATATTAGAAACAAAAGCAAAAATAAACAAATGGGACCTAATGAAACTTAAAAGCTTTTGCACAACAAAGGAAACTATAAGCAAGGTGAAAAGACAGCCCTCAGATTGAGAGAAGATAATAGCAAACGAAGCAACAAAGGATTAATCTCAAAAATATACAAGCAACTCCTCCAGCTCAACTCCAGAAAAATAAATGACCCAATCAAAAAATGGGCCAAAGAACTAAAAAGACATTTCACCAAGGAAGACACACAAATGGCTAAAAAACACATGAAAAGATGCTCAACATCACTCATTATCAGAGAAATGCAAATCAAAACCACAATGAGGTACCATTACACGCCAGTCAGGATGGCTGCTATCCAAAAGTCTACAAGCAATAAATGCTGGAGAGGGTGTGGAGAAAAGGGAACCCTCTTACACTGTTGGTGGGAATGCAAACTAGTACAGCCACTATGGAAAACAGTGTGATTTCTTAAAAAACTGGAAATAGAACTGCCATATGACCCAGCAATCCCACTTCTGGGCATACACACCTGGGAAACCAGATCTGAAAGAGACACGTGCACCCCAATGTTCATCGCAGCACTGTTTCTAATAGCCAGGACATGGAAGCAACCTAGATGCCCATCAGCAGACGAATGGATGAGGAAGCTGTGGTACATATACACCATGAAATATTACTCAGCCATTAAAAAGAATTCATTTGAATCAGTTCTAATGAGATGTATGAAACTGGAGCCCATTATACAGAGTAAAGTAAGCCAGAAAGACAAAGACCATTACAGTATACTAAAACATATACATGGAATTCAGAAAGATGGTAACGATAACCCGATGTGCAAAACAGAAAAAGAGACACAAATGTATAGAACAGACTTTTGGACTCTGTGGGAGAAGGCGAGGGTGGGATGTTTCAAGAGAACAGCATCGAAACATGTATATTATCTATGAAACAGATCACCAGCCCAGGTTGGATGCATGAGACAAGTGCTCGGACCTGGTGCACTGAGAAGACCCAGAGGGATCAGGCGGAGAGGGAGGTGGGAGGGGGGATCGGGATGGGGAATACATGTGAAACCATGGCTGATTCATGTCAATGTATGACAGAAACCACTACAATATTGTAAAGTAATTAGCCTCCAACTAATAAAAAAAAAACAGTGCTTTGCATTAATTACCAAGTAATTACTGAGATGTAAGAGAAAGAAGAGACTTTCAGTCAGAAAACTTGGGGGGCACTGTACCATATTGGGCCTCAATATGTGAAATGATGGTGATTGTAAAAGGGTTTTGTAAAATGTGAAACTTTAGATAAGCTGATCTCTGCTTTACTTTTAACGTGTAGAAATATAAAAGTCCAAAGTCTATGAGAGTAGATGGCATTCAAGCATGACTTCCTCCTTTCAACCTTTTGGGCCAACCCCTCATTTCTTGATGATTTTGCCCCTCGTGTTTGTTTCATTAGTTCTCAAGTTATCACTGGTTTTTGCATAAGGACTTCATTAACTGCATGAAAATAGCCTTTGCTGTTTCTCTAGTTTGCATGATGGGAGACATGGCTGCTCTATTAGCTTTCCATAGCTAATGCTGTCGCACTAGAAGAGTGCAAAATCTCAGTGGTTTACAGCAGGTTTATCACTCATTGATAATATACGAGCTGGGAAATGGTGGAAGCTCTGCTGTTTCTGTCTTCTTCATTCTAGGATTCAGAAAAGGGCTTTCATTAGTAAATACAGAAATATTGATTTGTATTATGAATTGCTTAAGTGAAACATCGAACATTTTTAAACTCTTCAGAACTTATATGAATATTCTGCTTATTGGTAGGTATCACTCAGAATCTGAGTTATGGGCGGTATTCAGTGACTATCTGTTGAGTGACTGAAGTAGCAACAGCCCATCCTCTTTTTCTCTCTGGGTTTGCTAACTGCTCAGGACCACAGTCTGGAGAAGGTTTAAAGCAACATCTCTTAAGGTATTTTTGTTTGTTGGTTTTTTTTTGGCCGCCACAGCATGTGGAAACTTATCTCCACCATGGGGATGGAACCTATACCCCCCTGCAGTGGGAATGCAAGTCCTTACCTGTAAACCACCAGTTCCCCATCCTGAATATATTTTTAAATGCCTGAGTTAGGTGAGAATATTGTGGAAATTAAGTCAAAGTGAAGGTTACTAATGGGAAGCTCAAGAAGTAGGAAGCTATCATCTTGGGTAGATCATCTCTGATGCTGGCAGGCAGGGCTAGCTTTATGGGTGTGTGATCTGTGTGGTTGAATTTATTGTCGTTTAGCTGCTAAGTTGTGTCCAGCTGTTTTATGACCCCGTGGACTGTAGCCGACCAGGCTCTTCTGTCCATGGGATTTTCCAGGCAAGAACACTAGAGTGGGTTGCCATTTCCTTCTCCAGGAGATCTTCCTGACCCAGGGATTGAACCCAAGTCTCCTGCATTAGCAGGTGGATTCTTTACCACTGAGCTACTAGGGAGGCCTGAATAGTTGAATAGGGCCCCATAATTGACTTAACTGTTCTGCTACTGCCGTCTTGAAATTATTTATTTAAAAGGGGCCCGCATTTTTACTTTGAACTGGGGTTTACAAATTATTAGTTGATCCTGTTGACAGGTGTTAAAGAGGAAGATTAAATGTCCAGTGTTGCTGTGGAATGGGGGGGGTCTTGGAGGGTGAGTGGGTACTAAAGACAGCAGTTATATTAGTAACAGCAGTGGTAATGATGACGGTAGAACTTACAGCAGCATCCATTTACTGACTCTGTACCGTGCACTGCTTTAAGTGCTTTGCGTATATTAATCCTTTTAATTCTCAGGAGGAAATTCTTGAACAGATGTCACAGCTCAAATCTGAAGGCTCTCAGGCTGGAGAACAGGAAAAGCCAATGCTCCAGTTCAAATCTGAAGGCCATCTGCTTGAGAATCCCTTCTTGTTCTGTTCAAGCCGTCAGCTGATTGAATAAGGCCCACTCATATTATGGAGAGCAATCTGCTTTTTTAAAGTTGTAGGATAAAAGATCGATATAGAACAATCAATTGTACTCCATATACTACCAACCAATCATCAGAAAAAACACCATTCACAATAATACCAAAAAATATGAAATACTTAGGGATAAATCTGCTAAAAAATGTTCCCCAAAATTATAAAAATATTGCTGAGATAATTTAAGACCTAAATAAGTAGAGAGATACATTGTGTTCATAGATCAGAAGACAATATTGTCAAAATGATTACAGATTCAATATTATGACAATCAAAATCCTTGTAGCCTTTATTGTAGAAACTGATGAGGTGATTCTAAGTCATACAGAAACTCAAAGGTCTAGAATAACCAAAACATTCTTTATAAAGAAAGAACAGTATAATATCACTTATACTTGTAATCTAAAAAAATAGAACAAAATAGTGAATATAGTAAAAAGACAGAAAAAACTGGAGGACTACATTACCTGGTTTTTATTATAAGGCAATAGTAATCAAGATAGTGTGGTATCACAATAGATTAAAGTATATCAATGGAAAATAATAAAGTCCAGAAAGCCACATACATAGACAGTTAATCAGCAGATATTCCACAAAGGTACAAAGGCAGTTCAGTGGAGAAAGCATTAGTCTTGTCAACAAAAGGTGCTAGAACAATTGGTAGCCATATGCACACAGGCTTCCCAGGTGGCTCCGTGGTAAAGAATCCGCCTGCAGTGCAAGAGACTCTGGTTTGAACCCTGGGTCGGGAAGATCCCCTGGAGGAGGGCATGGCAACCCACTCCAGTATTTGTGCCTGGAGAATCTCACAGACAGAGGAGACTGGTGGGCTGCAGTCCATGGGGTCGCCAGGAGTTGGACAGGACTGGAGTGACTAAGCACACACACGCAAACAGAACAAAACTTGGGCCCACACCTTGCGCCATACAAAATGCTTTGCTCAAAATGGATCATAGACCCAACTGTAAAACCTAAATCTGTGAAACTTCTCGGAGAAAATACAAGAGAAAATCTATGACCTTGGGTTGAATTTCTTAGATATAACAGCAAAGCATGACCCATTAAAGAGAAAAATGGAAATGGGACTTCATTAAAATTAAAAACTTCTGCTTTTCAAAAGGTTATTAAGAAAAAGAAAAGTCAAAGTATAGGCTGGGAGAAAATATTTGTAGATCAGATCCATCTTATAACTCCAATACTTTAAGTATACTATTAGTTTATAATAATACAATATTTTGGCCACTTGATGCAAAGAACTGACTCAATGGAAAAGACCCTGATGCTGGGAAAGATCGAAGGCAGGAGGAGAAGGGGACGACAGAGAATAAGGTGGTTGGATGGCATCACCAACTTGATGGACATGAGTTTGAGCAAGCTCCGTAAGTTGGTGTTGGACAGGGAAGCCTGGCGTGCTGCAGTCCATGGGGTTGCAGAGTCAGACAGGACTGAGCAACTGAACTGAACCAAAGTGATCCACAATGTATAAAGATTCAAAATTCATAATTAAAAAAACCCAATTTTAAAATGTGCGAAAGACTTGAACTGATACTTCCCCAAATGGTTCTCAACATGATTATTCATGAGATGCCATTACCCATCTATTAGAATATCTAAAATTTGAAGAGTGCTATACTGTGTTGGAGAGTATGTGGAGAAACTATAACTCTCATACACTGTTGATGAGAATGTACAATCATATAACTACTTTGGAAAACAGTTTGGCAATTTCTTAAAAAGTTAAGCTACATACCCACATTGGCTGCAGTCATTCTACACCTAGGAATGTATGCAAAAAGTGGAAGCATATATTCATAGATCTGTACACATTTTTCTGGCACTCTTCAATGTTCAGAGCAGTTTTTATTCATATTAGCCCCAAACTGGAAACAACCCACATGTCCACCAAAGGTGAATGGATAAGCCAATCGTCATATAAACATGCTCAGCAATACAAAAGAGTCAACTGATACATGCAACAGTGTGGATGAATCTCAAAATAATTGTGCTGCATGAAATCAGCCAGACCAAAAATAGTACATTCTGTATGACTCCATTTCTTTAACATTCTGGGAAGTGCAGACAAATCTATAGTGACAGAAAATAAGATCAGTTGTTTCCTAGGAAATGAGGCTGTGTGGGCAGAATTAGAAGTGCAAAGAAACTTTTAAAGGTGGTGGATGTGTTCATAATCTTGATCCTAGTAATGGTTTCACAAGTGTACAAATATGTCAGATCTTATCGAAATTGTATATTTAAATACATGGAGTTTACGGAATGTCAAATATACCACCATAAACTTGTTTTTAAAAATGTGACCGTATCACGATACATATTATACATAGAAGGTTAATTCTTTGGATTGCCTTTCATTAACCTTTTGCTTAATGAAACAAAACAAAATCTTTTGTTTTACTTGAAATTTACTTGATTTATAGTGTTGTGTTAGTTTCAGGTGTACAGCAAAGTGATTCAGATACATAAACACAAATATATATAAGAATATATATTTTTTCAGAATCTTTCCCATTATAGGCTATTACAAGATACTGAATATAGTTCCTTGGGGTATACAGTAGGTCCCTGTTGTTTATCTATTTTATGTATAGTAGTAGTGTCTGTAATGTATATAGTAGTGTCTGTTAATCCCAAACTCCCCAATTCATCTGTCCCTCCCACCCCTTTCTCATTTTGGTGACCATAAGTTTGTTTACTTTGTCTGCAAAACACAATCTTAAAAACACATAGGCTAAATGTTGATTTCTTTCTTCCATTTTTCCAGTGGCACCATAGCACAATGTCATAGCTGTCTGGGTGTGGCTCTGTTTCAGGTAACAAGCGATATGCAGGGTGTAGGGCAAGGGAGTTAGAGAAGGTAGGGTTCGGAAAAAGGAGAGGGGCACTTTCTCTCCGAACAGATCACCTTTATTGAGGTGAGAAGGGGCAGCAGTCAGATTAGTGAGCTGCTGCACTAACCCAAGGAAAGAGTAAGTATACTTAGGCATACATGTGGACATTTACTGTCTTAAGGGGGCCTGTTCTCCAAGGATGTTTGGGCTAGTTATCTCTTAACAGGCTAGGGCAAGGAATTCTGGAGATCAGCCAGAGGCTGGGACCGGCCGGCAGCTGGCGTAATCAACCTTAATGTCCATTTTTTCCCCTTCAGGTGAGAGAGTTCTGTTTTGCATAGAATGGTGGGGAGAACCCGGAGGGGAGTTTTAACTCCAGGCTACTTTGAGCCGCGTAACTTTCCTTCATAGGGAACAACAGAGAATGCTTTTAACTTCATTTGCTCCAGAGTGGCCTCACCTAAGCACGCATGGCTCAGTATGCGATTCTCCACCCGCTCCAGAAAGGTAGAAACAGGAACAACCTCCTTTGTGCGTGGGAAAGCACATGCAATGCAAGAATGCAGCCAGAACGCAGCTCAAGACTCGACATCTGCAAGGAAAATTCAGTTATCAAGAAAATCATGAGGGCGCCCAGATCCTGGGGTCTAGAAGGATTTTGGGTAATGGCTCTGGAGAAGAAAAAAAGCGCATGCTCTGGCTGAAAGCCCCACTTCCCAGCGGGTTACGTGCCCGCGCCGGCAGTGACTCCGCTTTCCGGTCCGGCACGGCCCTCATCCCTCGCACTTTCGGTCCGCCGCGCGGCCACCGGTCCGGCTCCCCAGCGCCCTTCCGCCGTCCTCTGACCTGCTGCCGAGCGCCCGTGCAGCTGGCGGTATAGTCTCCCCCGGGGCGCAACTGTAGGCTGGGCAGTACGGTCTGTAGTCCCTCTCCTCTCGAGTTCCAAGGGCGCGGTAAACCATCTGGTGTGAAACAATTCCCCTGCGGCCTTCCGCTCGCTCGGCTAGAGCCGCCTTTGAACTCCGAAGGCCGAGTCCCCACACTCCGAACCCGTGGAGGGCTGGTCTTCCGCCTCTAGGGGGCGTTCGTGCGCCCAGCGCCCTCTTCATTATTGAGGTCCCAGGTGTTTTGACTCCGCCGCTGCGCTGCAGTCGGGCTCGTTTCCTCTCACGGCTTACTCAGGACCTTCTAACGCCGGCTGCTTTCCCTCCCCGTCCAGCTAGCCGAAGATGCCCGCGGGTGTGCCTTGGACGTCTTACCTGAAAATGTTCGCCGCCAGCCTCCTGGCCATGTGCGCCGGCGCCGAGGTGGTGCATAGGTACTACCGACCAGACCTGGTGAGTGCAGGAGGATCCTTGCGCCTCGCTCCAGGACCACTTCATTTTAACGGAGGCAAAGTTCAGTTCAGTCGCTCAGTCACGTCCAACTCTGCGACCCCATGGACTGCTGGACGCCAGTCTTCCCTGTACATCCCTAACTCCAGGAGCTTGCTCAAACTCATACCCATCAAGTGGTGATGCCATCCAACCATCTCATCCTCTGTCGTCCCCTTCTCTTACCTTCAATCTTTCCCAGCATCAGGGTCTTTTCCAGTGAGTCGGTTCTTCGCATCAGGTGGCCAGTGTATTGGATTTTCAGCTTCAGCATCAGTCATTCCAATGAATATTCAGGAATGATTTCCTTTAGGATTGACTGATCTCCTTGCAGTCCAAGGGACTCTGAAGAGTCTTCTCCAGCACCACAGTTCAAAAGCATCAATTCTTTGGTGCTCAGCTTTCTTTATAGTCCAACTCTCACATCCATACATGGTTACTGGAAAAATCATAGCTTTGACTAGACGGACCTTTGTCAGCAAAGTAATGTCTTTGCTTTTTAATATGCTGTCTTGGTTGGTCATAGTTTTTCTTCCAAGGAACAAGTGTCTTTTAATTTCATGGCTGCAGTCACCATCTGCAGTGATTTTGGAGCCCAAGAAAATAAAGTCTCTCACTGTTTCCATTGTTTCCCCATCTAATTGCCATGAAGTGATGGGACTGGATGCCATAATCTTAGTTGTTTGAATGTTGAATTTTTAAGCCAAATTTTTCACTCTCCTCTTACTTTCATCAAGAGGTCTTTAGTTCCTCTTTGCTCTCTGCTTTAATGGTGGTGTCGTCTGCGTATGTGAGGTTATTGATGTTTCTCCCGGCAGTCTTGATTCCAGTTTGTGCTTCAGCCCTGCATTTGGCATGATGTACTCTGCCTATGAGTTAAATAAGGGTGACAATATCCAGCCTTGACATATTCTTTTCCCAATTTGGAACCAGTCCATTGTTCCATGCCTGGTTCTAACTGTTGCTTCCTGACCTGCATACAGATTTCTCAGGAGGCAGGTCAGCTGGTCTGGTATTCACGTCTCTTGAAGAATTTTCCACAGTTTGTTGTGATCCACACAGTCAAAGGTTTTGGCGTAGTCATTAAAGCAGAAGTCGATGTTTTTCTGGAACTCGCTTTTTCTGTGATCCAGTGGATGTTGGCAATTTGATCTCTGGTTCCTCTGCCTTTTCTAAATTCAGCTTGAACATCTGGAAATTCTCGATTCATGTACTGTTGAAGCCTTGCTTGGAGAATTTTGAGCATTACTTTTCTAGCATGTGAGATGAGTGCAATTGTGCGGTAGTTTGAACACTCTTTGGCATTGCCTTTCTTTGGGATTGGGATGAAAACTGACCTTTTCCAGTCCTATGGCCACTGCTGAGTTTTCCAAATTTGCTGACATATTGAGTGCAGCACTTTCACAGCATCATCTTTTAGGATTTGAAATGGCTCAACTGGAATTCCATCACCTTCACTAGCTTTGTTTGTAGTGATGCTTCCTAAGGCCCACTTGACTTCGGATGCCAGGATGTATGGCTCTAGGTGAGTGATCACACCATCCTGGCTATCTGAGTCATTAAGATCTTTTTCTGTATAGTTCTTTTGTGTTTTCTTGCCACCTCTTAATATCTTCTGCTTCTGTTAGGTCCATACCATTTCTGTCCTTTATTGTGCCCATCTTTGCATGAAATGTTCCCTTGGCATCTCTAATTTTCTTGAAGAGATCTCTAGCCTTTCCCATTCTATTGTTTTCCTCTATTGTTTTTTTGTGTTGATCACTTAGGAAGGCTTTCTTATCTCTCCTTGCTATTCTTTGGAACTCTGCCAAAGTGATGTTGAAATTAGGAGTGCATCTGCTTGGGGCCTAAAACCTTACAGTGGCATCTCGTTGCCATTAAAGTAATACGTGGCCTGCTCTTAAAACAGTCTTAGGCAGTTTTGAGGTTTTACTGTGTCTGTCACTTGCCTGCCACTGACCTTATCTTCTCTTTCTTCTTTGTTCCCTCTGTTGCAGCCACACACACTTCCTTGCTGTTTCTCCAATTCATCAAGCCTGTCCCCACCTCAGGGTCATGCTTTTTTTCTTCTTGGATTGCTCCCCCCCCCCGCCCCACCCAGATTTTGTTTTGGTTTACTTCTTCAGAACTTCAAAGTCTCTGCTCAGATATCTCCTCCAGCAATGAGTGTTCTTTTTATGGCCCGCAGAGAATTGCTCTTGTGCTCTTCCGTCCTTCGGTTCGGATAGAGCGCTTGTCACAACTTGCAGTAATCTTATTCATTTCTGTCTTGTTCTTTGTTTCTTCCACTAGAGTATAATTTCCAGGGTGGGGAGACTATGCCTGTCAGGTTTGCTCTCCTGCCTCAGTCACCTCGAAAAGATTTTAGAATGTAGTTGATGTCCAGTAAATATTTGTTGAATGAAGGAGTGAATGTGGGCCTTGAAAGTAGGGAGGAATTTAATTTTAATAAGCATTCTTTGGATTAGAACTGGGAACTAGAGATACTTCTGAGGAGTTACAGTCCTGGAAAGATGGAGGCAAGGAAGTACAGTGCAAATAATTACAGGAATGTGTAAGGTACCTTTTGGGCAAGGCAGAAAAGGAAAGATGACCTCAACAGAAGTAGGTTACCTTTATTCAGGCAAGGAGGGGCGACAGTCGGCCTAATGACCAGGCGGAGCGCCGAGAGGGATCAGGGAGGCTTCATACTTACAGGGAGGTTTGTGGAAGCGATAAGGGAAACGTCAATCAGGCGGGATATTTTGAGTATTCTTTTGTTGAGATGACATTTGTAGTTGGGCAGGGGGCGATAAGTCTTCTGGGCGGGTGGAGGGGGTGGTAGGTTTCCGGACAGGGGGTGATAAGTCCCAGATAGATGCAACCGGCCTGGAGCATCAGGGGGGAACTAAAGTTCTGTTTTGTTTTCTCCGAAGTTAGATGATTCAGCAAGGGGCCTTTGGGACTGTTGTTCTCTTTTCTAGGCCCCAAAGACTTTCAGAATGTGCTTGGTGTTTTATGCTATGGATGTGAATGGGCTTCCTGGTGGCTCAGTGGTAAAGAATCTGCCTGCAGTGCAGGAGACAGACATAGGAGACCTGGGTGGGGAAGATCCCCTGGAGGAGGGCATGGCAACCCACTCCAGTATTTTTACCTGGAGAGTCCCATGGACAGAGGAGCCTGGGTGGGCTACAGTCCATAGGGTTGCAAAGAGTTGGACACGACTGAAAGCAACACATAGACTAAAAGTGAAAAATCTCCCCACTGATGACCCCCTTTCTCCAGTCTACTCCCCAGTGTAACTACCATTTGTTGGTTGGTATATTCTTCCAGATTTTTACTGTTGTTGAATACACACACACACACACACACACACAGAGTTTATGGGGTGATTTTCCCTCACATAAATAGAAACTCATATACATGTTTCTCTGTGACTTGCTTGTTTTGTTAACGACTGTATGGATAGATTTGTTTATATTAGTAGCTTTTTTTCTTTCTGGTCATTGAACAGTATTTCATAATATAGATACTCCATATATTATTTACTCAGTTCTCTGTGGACATTTGGTTGGTATCTAGGTTTTGTGCAAATAATGAGGCAGTCACTCTTTACCACTTTAGACTGCTTCTCTTTAATTTTAGGGAATCATCAAGGATAGTTAGTAGAGACAGGAAGGGGTAAGAAGGGGTAAGAACCTTCCACAGAAATGCAGTTTGTTTGGTCTTTAGCTTGTGCAGGAATAGACATCAAACAGGTTTCACAGAGAGAGGAATGCCTGGGTCATTCTCACATCTCATCAGCGAGAAAGTTCAAGGATTGTTACCAGCAGCTGCCTGGACCTTGGGAGGAGGTGGCACGGGCCAGAAATCTTTAGAAGGGGCATATTTACGTGTCCCAGGCCACCTCATCCTGACTGGGTGGTGATATCGGCAGTGGGGGACCTCTGTAGGCACTTGATGGCCAGGGCTGGCAGGCTGTGTGGAGGCGGCTGTTGGCTTTACTAATACTTAAGGGATTTATGTTCTTTTATCTGTGTCTGTTGGTATTGTTCCAGCAGTTTTTGTCACTGTCATCACTATCCCCGGCCTTTGCAGGAGTCTTTCAGCCTATGCAGCTGGAAGTCGGGCTGCATTTCAGAGGAGAGGCGACCAGGGGGGCTGCCTGGGGCTTGTGCTCAGTGCTGTCTGAAGGCAGAAGCTCTAAGGCAGTTGTCCCTGAGCTCCAGGCTTTGGACCGGTACCTCCTGTCAGATCGGCAGCAGCATTAGATGAAGAAATTAAGTGTACAATAAATGTGATGTCCTTGAATCATCCCGAAATCACCCCCCACCCCCACCCCTGAGCCGTGGAAAAATTGTCTTCTACAAAATCAGTCCCTGGTGCCAGAAAGGTTTGGGACTGCTGCTTTTAGGGCACCTTCTCCTAGTCGTCCTGCCCAGTTCATCAGGAAAGTAGCAGATTCGAAGACTCAAGGCAGGTGTTCTGTCCTGGAATGGAGTGTTTTCTGCTCAGGCTCCCCGTTTGCATTTCCTTCTCCCCTGGTATTACTTTTACTGGTTCTGTTTTTCTTAACTTATCTGTTCACTATTGGAGGCATGGTAGGTCAAAAAACAGTCTCCGCACTCATTTTAAAGCACTGTTTTTTTTGTTGTTGTTGTTGATCATAATTTTTTTTTCATCCTGAATCATTTAAGTGAAGTGCACTTTAGACATTTTGAATTTTACATTTCTGAATTAAAATTTTGAAAGCCTTTTTCTACACCATTTACTATGATATTTTCTTTTTTTGACATTTTAACTAAACTTAATTTTGTTTTGGAGTGTAGCCAATTAACAGTGTGATAGTTTCAGGTGGACAGCAGAGGGACTCGGCCACATATCTACATGTATCCATTGTCTCCCAAGCTCTTCCCCCATCCGGGCTGCCACATGCTATTGAGCAGAGTTCCCTGTTAAAGCACTTGTTTTTGGCTGTCTCCAGAAATAGCCACATATACAAAAACTGCTATTTAGGACCTGTGCCAACATTGCTAACTTTTGATGCCAAAATCATATTAAAATTGGTTGTATTTTTAGTATGTAAATAAGTGCTTTCTTTTAATCAAAGTTGAATTGTCACTTTCGCCAAACAGTAGAAACAATCCAACTAAATATCCATTAATTGGTGAGTGGATAAATGGATACATTTATTTGTATTCATGTAAATAAATGTATACATGGTGAGTGGATAAATAAATAAATATAATGGAGTATTTTTTGGTCCTAAAAGGAAGGATTGATACACCTGAAAACATGGATGAATCTTGGAATCATGCTAAGTGAAAAAAACTAGTCATGAAAGACCACATGTTGTGTGATATGTTTATATGAAATGTTCAGAAGAGGCATGCCTATAGACAGGGCAGTGGCTTGGTGATGGCGGTGGTGGTGTGAGGGTTGTGTAGAAATGGGGATGACTGCTAATGGGTTTGGGGTTTCTTTTTGGGGTGAGGAAATGTTCTCTAATTTATTATAGTGGTGGATGTGCAACTTTGTGGCTGTACCAAAGGTCATTGAATATTTAAATAGGTGGTATTTAAACCATACCATAGCAATATTTAAACCATACCATGGTTTGTGAATTATATCTCACTAAAGCTGTTACTTCATGGGAAATAGATGTGGAAACAGTGTCAGACTTTATTTTTGGGTACTTCAAAATCACTGCAGATGGTGATTGCAGCCATGAAATTAAAAGATGCTTACTCCTTGGAAGTAGTTATGATCAACCTAGATAGCATATTAAAAAGCAGAGACATTACTTTACCAACAAAGGTCCGTCTAGTCAAGGCTATGCTTTTTCCAGTGGTCATGTATGGATGTGAGAATTGGACTGTGAAGAAAGCTGAGCGCCGAAAAATTGATGCTTTTGAACTGTGGTGGTAGAGAAGACTCTTGAGAGTCCCTTGGACTGCAGGGAGATCCAACCAGTCCATCCTAAAGGAGATCAGTTGTGGGTGTTCATTGGAAGGACTGATGCTGAAGCTGAAACTCCCAATACTTTGACCACCTGATGCGGAGAGCTGACTCATTGGAAAAGACCCTGATGCTGGGAGGGATTGGGGGCAGGAGAAGGGGATGACAGAGGATGAGATGGCTGAATGGGATCACTGACTCGATGGACATGAGTTTGAGTAAACTCCTGGAGTTTGTGATGGACAGGGAGGCCTGGCGTGCTGATTCATGGGGTCACAAAGAGTTGGGACACGACTGAGCGACTGAACTGAAAGCTGTTACAAATTTTTGAGAAGTCACCTTTCTTGAAGGCAGTTTTGTAATTTGTTTTGCCTACTGCTTATGCTTTGCACATAGTAGGCACTGTTTTCTAACAAATTGATTCCTAACACTTGTTTTCTGGCTAGGCATGTTAGAGAAGTCAGTGAACAGTCCAGGAAAGAATTTCCCAATGTGGAAAACCTTTTTCAGATTTGTGGCCTGTCAGTTGATACTGATGCAAACTTTCTGTGAGTCCTTTAGTACTTAAGATGTAGCCATGATGATATCTGCAAATAGAGGACTAGAAAGTAACTTAGATCAACAGCAGGTCCTCATAATATTTATCATTGAGTGGCAGGGAGCTTTTGTTCTTTTTTACTTTTTCTTTGATGTTTTTCAGGTCATATTCACAGTGTAAAAAAGCATGGCTATCTGTATATTTTGTTTTTGTATTTTATAGACAATACCTGAAATTCCACCCAAACCTGGAGAACTCAAAACAGAGCTTTTGGGACTGAAAGAAAGACAACAGGAACCTCAAAATTCAACCCTGCCAAGAACTCTGTGAATGAAAATTAAATATATACTTTTAGAATTTAATGAGTGAAACTATTTGTGTTTAAGCATCTAATACAAACTGCAAGAGGAAGTGCTCAGTAGATGTTAACTGATTTAGTTATGGTTTGACCAGTTAATCTTGAAAACTGCCAGTTTATATCATCAGCTTCTGTAATGTAGTTTGATAGATACCCAGTGTAGTTGCAGTTTCTTTCCCTTATAATTTTGACTTATTTCTCTGAATAAGCTTGACTATAATGGCAAAAGCGGATTATAAACTAGCTATAATAAAAGTGACATTGACCATGTGTGCTTAAGAGTGAGAGATTAGTATTTCTCTAAATTTGAAAAGTACTATTTAAAAAAAAAAAAAGTACAGTACTATTAATAGGATTAGGGTTTGGATTCTTTTGGAGTAAGTTTAGATTTACAGGGAAACTGCCCAGACAGCCCAGTTCCCATTTCTGCAAATGCCCTCATGTAACATGACCATGGTACAGATCACACATGCCAGAGCTAAGGAACCAATGAACTATGTCTGATTCTGTATTTCCCCAGCTTTCATCCATCCAGGCAACTATGACATTTAGTTGCCGTATCTCCTTCTTCTCCTCCTGTGAGGCTTCTTTCCTTGGTTTTGACCTTAAAAAATTTGGAGGAGTACTGTTCACATATTCTAGGTTAGGTTGAGTTTTTGAAGAATACCAGAGGTGAAGTACCCTCCTTCACATGTCAGGGGGTACATGACATCACTGGCTGATATGAACCTTGATCACTTGGTTATTATGGTAGCATCTGCCAAGGTTCTCTGCTCTAAAGTTACTGCTTCCTGCTTCCCACACTCTAGAAGACAGTCATTAAATCCAGTCCACGTTCAAAAAGGAAAAGAGGATTAAGCTCCACTTCCTGGAAGGGGGAGCGTCTACATGTACTATTTGGAATTCTGTAAAGAGTATGTCCCTTCTTTCTATGAGTGATTTTTAAGAATAATTTTAAAAGCCACTTTTCTTTAGTTAAGTATGCATTACTTTTCTAATAAGAAAACCCAGGACACAGGATCTAAGAAATACTGTATTTTATATCTGTATGAGATGCTGGATGTTCACTACTTGTATCATTTACTGATGTACGTAAGTCAAGACATTATGCTGTATATCACCAAAAAACTGGAAGAAAAATCAAGTATCAGGGAGCTGTATACAATGAATTATAAAAAGACAAGACACTGGATATTTGGGATCTTTTTTATTTTTATACACATGACAAGATTTTACACCAAGTCAGTTAAATAGTACAAATTTACATTCATGAGGAATGTTAAAAAAAATTCAACTAAAAAACCCACTTCTTCCTGTGACCCACAATCCCAACATTTTACAGTGCAGAGGAGAAGGGGGCTGGGGGCATGGGGGTGGGGGACACATCCAAAACAAGTCTCTCCCAAAAGAAATAAACTTCACATTCCCTCTCCACACAGGATCCAAATGGTGAGAGTATAATTTACAGTTCATCTTTTTCAGCTGTAGATTTCTGTGAAAACAGAAAAATCAGAATGCATTAAAAACTAGCACAACAAACCTCTGCTCACCAAAAGTTCATGTGTGGAAAAAATGGAAATGTTTCCTGTTTCCATTATCTGATCTGTAGTTTAGAATCTCAGCTTGCTAATCTGCAAAATAACCTAGAACCCAATAAAATCAATAGTCACTGAACAATCAAAAATTTAAAATAGGTTAATGTTACTGTAGGGCAGAAGCAAGTGGCAAAGAACACAGAAGCCCCACGGGCTAAGGAGTAATCTGCTTAAAAGCACCTCAAGGATGGATGGCGAGGGCTTCCCCTGGTGGCTCAGGGATAAAGAATCCACTGGCCAATGCAGGAGACGGGGGTTTGATTCCTGAGCTGGGAGTACCCCATCTGCCACAGAGCAGCTGAGCCACAACTGCCGAGTCGGTGCCTCGGAGCCCGGAAGCCCCAGCTACTGAGCCCACGCGCCGCAACTACTGAAGCCCCTGCCCCACCACGAGAGGCGCCACCGCGATGAGCAGAGCAAGTGCTGCTCCCCACAGCTAGACAAAGTCCACAGCAGCAAAAAGCCAGCACAGCCAATAAAAAGCTTAGAGTTGCAGCTGCCAGTCCCTGCCTCCCTAGGCTCCTTCCCCGTTTAAAAATAGAAAGGATGGATGGCTAAACTAAGGAAGTCAAGGCCATGGGGAGGATCGAAATACACACTTTAAATAAAAAAGTGCTTTGTTCCAGCTTTTGAATTTGATATTAGATGCGTATTTTTGACTCTGGCAACAGTTCTGACTCTCAGGAACTAAACGTGCAAGTCCCCCTGGTTTGCTCTACCTCTGCTGTTTCTGGTTCCTCCTCCTCCGCTCCTGCATCCATCTCCTCCTCTTCGTCTTGCTCTGTGTCTTCTGCGGTGTCCTCCGTTGCTTCTTCTGGTTCTTCTTCGGGCTCTTCTTCAACCTGAGGGCAACATTTATGAGCCCATTCATGCATCAAACACCTTGTTCATTTTGCTCATTTAAATGTGCAAGATCATTAATTTCCTTCGGTTAATTCTGTTAACTACGAAACTATAGAGGAAACCCTATAGTTAAGAGTTAACAGTCAAGCTAACAAAGGGAGACAGGCAAGAAAAGAAAATGGATGTGAAAGGGGAAATCTCATTTTTAGCACAGTGCCTGATACCGGGACTCAAACATTCAGTAAGTTACATCAAACCTTTGCATCAGGGTCGATGTTTAAGCTGAGGCGAAGCATTCTTTCTATTCTGTCTCCATATGCTTTAGTGTCTGGTAAAAGATATCCTGACCGCAGTGTTGCTGTTTCAAACAAAACCACAGCAAGATCTGAAACAGTTTTGTCATCTTCATCTTCCTGAAATGGAAGGAGTCACACACTTTATTAATACTAAAGGGTTCAAAGAAGTCAAATTAAAAGACAGAGGAGTAAGGCCGTGATAGCGCTCACCTTGACTCTTCGAAGCATGTCTCTGATCAGTGGGTGTCTGGGGTTAATTTCAAATGTTTTCTTCTGGCTGGCATAATAACTGTTACAGAGGAAAAATGAACGTTAACAAATATATCAAATTTGAAGGCCCATACATTTCCCATATTCTAGTATAACTTACATAGTTACAGATAACCTTTTAGAAATCAAGACATGCTTATATATCGTTAAATCACGCTTTCCCTTTTAAAGGGCAATGTGCATGGTCAGATCAAATAGTACAGTAAAGAACTACTTTATTTACTAATGAATCCCAAGTGCCTTTGCTGAGTGGATGAACTGATTTAATGTCCTGTTCATCTCCTTTTAATGTATTCACTATCTTCATTGCAGCTGTGTCTCCCCAAAGTTCTGGAACAGAACAGGCTCTGAGTGCTGCTCAAGTAACACCTTCTCCATGAGGCCTCAACCAACATGGTTCTAAGAAAAATGGCATCTTTTCACTAAGCTCGGCTGCAATGCATTCTGGGTATACCTCCATCACTGTTACGTCCTACCTGACCTCCATGACTGCTCTCCTTCCTACAGTGGCAGGCTGAGGACAGGAAGGAACCCTTCTCCCTCCATCTTGGCATACCTATCACACACACGGGGCTTACAGATTTGTGCCCTGACTTCTCAATCCTGACTAGTCTGAACACAGACACAACAGGTGCTCACGTGTTTGTTGGACAGAAGGTACTGTCCCGTTAATCACTGACTGGGAAGATGGACTTAAATGGCTACTGTACTGCTGCGATGGAATATAAGCAGAAACACATTTCCACCTGACGTTTACCATCTAGTCAAGGTACAAGACAAATAAAACAGCACTTTGGCATTTGATTTTATAAATATACACTGGTGAGCCATGCTAATTATGAAATATAGGTATATTTTAAATGGAGTTTAGGGATTTTGACAATGGAAACTATACTTAGGAGAAGAATCCTTAAACTAGGCTTGGGGGAAAAAAGTGTGACAGTAGGTAGCTAGTAAGAAGATAGTCCAGGTAGAAGAGAGAATAAAAGCAAGGAAGAAGTCATTTTCAAAACTATTGTTGTTACATTCAAATATAAACCTGAAATACATATTTCTTGAAAATAAAGGGTACCAAAGACCTAGTGTACCTTCAGTAGTTGGTCCTTGAGTTCAATTGCTGGTTGTGCATCCTCTACCCTGTATTTAGTGTAGAATACCACTTGGGGGTAGAATGGGTAATTAAAAAGGATTTAACTCATTTAAGAAATATAAGGGGCTTCCCTGGTAGCTCAAATGGTAAAGCATCTGCCTACAATGCGGGAGACCCGGGTTCAATCCCTGGGTCAGGAAGACCCCCTGGAGAAGGAAACGGCAACCCACTCCAGTATTCTTGCCTGGAAAATCCCATGGACCGAGAAGCCTGGTCCTCCATGGGGTCGCAAAGAAATGGACATGACTGAGTGACTTCACTTCACTTCTTCAAGAAACATAACTGTCATTAACTTCATCTTTAACTATTATCTGAAAATGTAAAGGCAGTCCAGATACTAGGCCAAGCAGAAAATCTAATGCTGAAAGACATTGTCTAACAGATTAAGAAAACTTCCACCTGTATATAAAATACTAAATATAAAGTCACAAGTGCAAGACCTTTTCTTGAGTAATCTAATCATTTTGTCAACTTCTCTATAATGGAGAGCGGTAGACACTTAAAACCCATCAGTTCTTTGTGTCGAAGCTGTGTTATCTTCTAGGAGGAGGCTGGGTGACAGCTTACACCCCGGCAGGGCCTCCCTGAGGATGCTTACTTGGTTGAGATGTCCTTGCCTGTCTGGTATGCCTGGGCTTTCATGATCCTCTCCATGTTGCCAGACCACCCGTACTGGCTGGCTACGAGAGCACACGGGGACTCTGTCAGGCGCTGAGACACCACAGCCTTCTCGATCTTTGGAGGAGAAGGTGAAAGTTATCTCTAAATATCAACAGTCAAGGTCATCAAGTAACTGCATTTCCACTCCTGAAGGGCTC